TGCGGCAACCCGCGCCTCGTCAAAGGGACACACACACACTCGCAAAAATACAGGCTGGGCCTCGTAATTTGGTCCGCGGTGGTAGTGCCGATCCCGAATCCGGTTGCCCCGAAAAAACACCGGAGTGCTTTCCGACCATGAGCCCTGGAAAGAACGGCCGTAAACGGGGACTAAGGCTCAACTTGGATTGGTCCATACGCTGTTTTGTCCGTTCTCTCTCTCGCACTCATTGCTCAGATGCGGCACGTCAAAGGAGCACACTCGGCTTTGAAACGCCGCCCCAATTGTCGTCTATCTCTCTCCCACTCATTGATCAGATGCGGCAACCCGCGCCTCGTCAAAGGGACACACACACACTCGCAAAAATACAGGCTGGGCCTCGTAATTTGGTCCGCGGTGGTAGTGCCGATCCCGAATCCGGTTGCCCCGAAAAAACACCGGAGTGCTTTCCGACCATGAGCCCTGGAAAGAACGGCCGTAAACGGGGACTAAGGCTCAACTTGGATTGGTCCATACGCTGTTTTGTCCGTTCTCTCTCTCGCACTCATTGCTCAGATGCGGCACGTCAAAGGAGCACACTCGGCTTTGAAACGCCGCCCCAATTGTCGTCTATCTCTCTCCCACTCATTGATCAGATGCGGCAACCCGCGCCTCGTCAAAGGGACACACACACACTCGCAAAAATACAGGCTGGGCCTCGTAATTTGGTCCGCGGTGGTAGTGCCGATCCCGAATCCGGTTGCCCCGAAAAAACACCGGAGTGCTTTCCGACCATGAGCCCTGGAAAGAACGGCCGTAAACGGGGACTAAGGCTCAACTTGGATTGGTCCATACGCTGTTTTGTCCGTTCTCTCTCTCGCACTCATTGCTCAGATGCGGCACGTCAAAGGAGCACACTCGGCTTTGAAACGCCGCCCCAATTGTCGTCTATCTCTCTCCCACTCATTGATCAGATGCGGCAACCCGCGCCTCGTCAAAGGGACACACACACACTCGCAAAAATACAGGCTGGGCCTCGTAATTTGGTCCGCGGTGGTAGTGCCGATCCCGAATCCGGTTGCCCCGAAAAAACACCGGAGTGCTTTCCGACCATGAGCCCTGGAAAGAACGGCCGTAAACGGGGACTAAGGCTCAACTTGGATTGGTCCATACGCTGTTTTGTCCGTTCTCTCTCTCGCACTCATTGCTCAGATGCGGCACGTCAAAGGAGCACACTCGGCTTTGAAACGCCGCCCCAATTGTCGTCTATCTCTCTCCCACTCATTGATCAGATGCGGCAACCCGCGCCTCGTCAAAGGGACACACACACACTCGCAAAAATACAGGCTGGGCCTCGTAATTTGGTCCGCGGTGGTAGTGCCGATCCCGAATCCGGTTGCCCCGAAAAAACACCGGAGTGCTTTCCGACCATGAGCCCTGGAAAGAACGGCCGTAAACGGGGACTAAGGCTCAACTTGGATTGGTCCATACGCTGTTTTGTCCGTTCTCTCTCTCGCACTCATTGCTCAGATGCGGCACGTCAAAGGAGCACACTCGGCTTTGAAACGCCGCCCCAATTGTCGTCTATCTCTCTCCCACTCATTGATCAGATGCGGCAACCCGCGCCTCGTCAAAGGGACACACACACACTCGCAAAAATACAGGCTGGGCCTCGTAATTTGGTCCGCGGTGGTAGTGCCGATCCCGAATCCGGTTGCCCCGAAAAAACACCGGAGTGCTTTCCGACCATGAGCCCTGGAAAGAACGGCCGTAAACGGGGACTAAGGCTCAACTTGGATTGGTCCATACGCTGTTTTGTCCGTTCTCTCTCTCGCACTCATTGCTCAGATGCGGCACGTCAAAGGAGCACACTCGGCTTTGAAACGCCGCCCCAATTGTCGTCTATCTCTCTCCCACTCATTGATCAGATGCGGCAACCCGCGCCTCGTCAAAGGGACACACACACACTCGCAAAAATACAGGCTGGGCCTCGTAATTTGGTCCGCGGTGGTAGTGCCGATCCCGAATCCGGTTGCCCCGAAAAAACACCGGAGTGCTTTCCGACCATGAGCCCTGGAAAGAACGGCCGTAAACGGGGACTAAGGCTCAACTTGGATTGGTCCATACGCTGTTTTGTCCGTTCTCTCTCTCGCACTCATTGCTCAGATGCGGCACGTCAAAGGAGCACCCTCGGCTTTGACAAGCCGCCCCAATTGTCGTCTATCTCTCGCCGGGGAAAGGTCGCCGCAACCTGTCTGGAACGTAGCCGATTCATTGCCGTTCACGTGGTATAACCTTTCGGCTGGAGAAATAACAAGCATTTCTAGGGAGGTTATCACAGCAATGTTTCCGGAACGGTGAATCCTTCCGCAGCAACCTTACCGTAGCGATTCTGAGAGGTTTTTGTTCAATTTGGGATAGGTCGCGGGCTAGGGTAGGTACAGGACATTTCAGATGTTCAGGGCCCAAATTCTTAAATCAAATGACAAAAATTTTCCAATTCGATGTTAAAATCTGATTCACCCTGGTAAAAATTGGCGATATGAGCTGCGTTTCAAAATATCATTTGCGTTCTCATTGCCGACTAAAGAAGGCTATTGAAAATCATATAGCTGGCTGTAGAAAGCGGAGCAAATCATTTAGCCGGGCTATACGAAGCTATAAACAAGTATACAGTCGGGTTATAGTGCCTATCGCTTGGCTTTACACTTTATCGCCATTGGGTATAAAAGGCTACAAGAAATCGTGTAGAAATTCGTGAGCTTTGGAAATCATTAAATTTGACACGGAACTACCTTCATATTTACAAAACACGCATTATATTTTCCTTTAAAACATATTTTTTTCATCAATTAAAATAAGAATTATCCATTCAGAGTGTGCAAACATTTCAAAATCATGAGTTGAAAAATGCTGACTCCGCCAGATTAAATATTAGAGCCTAACACAAAGCGGAGCGGCGACGCACTGGCGCCTACAAACCTAACAGGGATACTTAAAGCATTGCGCAATGCGTGAAGTATCCCTGATGGGTTTGTAGGCGCCAATGCGCCATTCGCGCCCTCTGCCCGCCCGCCGCGCCGCAGCGTGCCACAGCGTCTGAAGCAACTATTTCTCACCAGAGGTATTGCACAGCATCATAAGAAATTGAAGGCGCTCCAAGATATTAAGAATGACAGGCATCCTTCAAAAGTACAGAGCTTTCCTCGCAAAATAAATCAAGATACTACGGCAAAAAAAGAAAGTGGTAGTCCAAAAACTAACTAAGTCCTAGTATCCGTATTTAGTAACGTTTAGCATAAAATTTATCGTCTGGCTGTTGCTTAATCGCCATCGGCTATAAGAGGCTGTAAGAAATTATACAGCCGGATACAGAAGCTATTGGAAATCTTACAGCCGGCTTTAGGTCTATGGTATTTTGGAACACAGATTCTCTACTGCCAATTTTTACCAGGGCAGCAATTTTTGATCAAATTTGCGACAACAACTCTGAAATCGTTACTCTTAGGGGTAAAAAGTCCAGTTGCTTGATAATTGAAGGCTTGGGAGACAAGGCGCTAAAGTGCAGTTTTAGAAATTCGAGACCAGAGATTAGAGTCCACCCGCCTTAGCTGCGTACCACAGCTCATTATGCTTGTATTTCAACAGGTGAGATACAAGAAAGCGACTGGACCTCACTAAAAGCACATTAGATAAAAGCAGGAAGGAAAGGCGAAGGGGAAATAGAAATTCGGACCATTTCGTGTTTTTCCGTGTTGAAAAAGGAAGGATGGAAATAGAAATAAAATCGTGAGTTCAGAAGCATATCTTCGGTCCAAATTGAGTTGTGCGTGTTTTTCGGTAGTTGAAGTTAAGGTCTGGTCTATCAGAATACCAAGCGATTTTGTCTAGAATTCATTTGACGTGGAGAAAACAGCGAATGTGATTAGTGTATTTATCGTTTAAAGGGGACGTGGGACAAGGGATAAGTGCGACCTACCGTCACTTCAGCCCAACTGCTGGCCTCAATTTGGCTTAACTGAGCTGAAAATTTTAGAACATATTCATGGAGGTGTGAGACAAACACTTGTAAATTATTTTGAGGGTATTTGGAACACCGGATAGGTCCGAGTAACATCCAGAACTTCAAACTCGTTTTTTTTTCGAAATATCAAAAACTACACTTATGCGCCAAGCCCCTCAATTCAACTCTTTGACTTCATGCCTATAGCGCCATCGCGCCTTCAATTTTGCACATGCAACACAGACATCCATCAAGCACGAATAGTTGTATCTCTGCGCCGTTATCAACACGCTTTCTTTCTCATGCTCTGTTTCTATATTATGTTTTTTCTATTTACGCCACTGCTTCCAGGACTACTTGAGCCACACAGCCGAGGATAGGAGGGGCTATTTGTTCCCTATTTTTTAACTTTTCTTCAAAATAGGAGCAATATCTCACTAGCAACCCAAAGCAGAGCATTGCGAGTGCGCGCTCGCGTGCCATCGCGCCTTCAATTTTACAGACGCAACGCGGACATCCATCAAGTACGAATAGTTGTATCTCTGCGCCGTTATCAACACGCTTTCTTTCTCATGTTTCTATATTATGTTTTTTCTATTTACGCCACTGCTTCCAGGACTACTTGAGCTACACAGCCGAGGATAGGAGGGGCTATTTGTTCCCTATTTTTTAACTTTTCTTCAAAATAGGAGCAATATCTCACTAGCAACCTAAAGCAGAGCATTGCGAGTGCGCGCTCGCGTGCCATCGCGCCTTCAATTTTACAGACGCAACGCGGACATCCATCGAGTACGAATAGTTGTATCTCTGCGCCGTTATCAAAGCGCTTCTTTTCCCCTGCTCTCACTGTGTTATTTCATTTCCATTTGTGTTGGAATATTTGCTGTAACGCTTTGCAAAGGCTACTTGAGCAACATACCCGAGAATAGACAACTTCAGTATGAGTCATCGGCCGTTAACGAATGACGTTATCATCAACAATCCGGAAATTCCCTAGCTGTCTGACGTGACTTTAGTCAGTGTTTTCATTCAGTTGCTCAACAATGGCGGAGCTTATCACTGTGCCTCACAAGAAGCCCGCGGATGTGGACGTAATCGGGCCGCTGAAGAATTTATTTGCGGCGAATTATAGTTCTGCTGACAACCCTGAGGATTACACCGATCAGATCAACGAATTTAGCAAACTTCGGAGCAATGCCGTTTGGCGTTCCATCGAAAAGACCGAAGCCTCCTTGGAGGTTATCTACGGGTGAGTCATAACAACCCTGTCAGTTCAGCAATTTTCCAAATTTAATTTTACTTATCGTTCTCCCTTTCCGCCGGTATTCGTTTTGTTTCATCAACGAAGCCACATTTATTTAAATCTTCCTATCGTAAGTCGTCATGAGGTGTAATCCCTCACTGTCGTCCCTTATCTTCAGTGGTATCACACAGGCCTGTCACTCGGTCACTCCCATCTCCAAGGAATCTTGTATCCTTTGTATCTGTTAAAGTCCCTCTGTATTCCCTACATTCATACAATCCCTTATGGATATAAAGTCACGTTCTGGCCAAATACTCTGATTGTAACTCGCACACCAGTTTTTGTTCTTTCTCGCTATGTAGCGATGCTTCAATGTGAATCCTCCCCTTTGTAACATTGTAGCTTCTGCACTAATCAAGTGATTTATCAATTATTTCCATCTTGAAAACAGAATGGTAGCAGTATCAGTTCATAATTCAGCCTCTCTCTATTGTCTAATGATGGTACCTACACGGAATCAAACCTGAGAACTGAAGATTGCATTAGAGAAATTACATCGGGTTGTTTACAAAAGTATCCACATGTCGCTGCAAACAACTCCAGCTAGTGATTTGATAGCATCCAATGCAACGCTTGACATCGCATTGAATCTAAAAATTTATTATCATACTTAATTCCATCTTAAGAGGTGTAGCGGAACGTATATTGTTAACCTGGTCTTATGCATGAGATTAAGTCCTCTTGTAAATGGAAACCGAACCAACAAAACCCTACAGAACGATTGATTACCTGATACTGTAGGAGTACTAAATCAGATAGTTGTCTTTTTAATAATGTATCTCACGTTCTCCTTCTCTAGTAAATTCCTGTTTTTCTTTGGACACAGTTCATTGCATAAATTTTCTTTTGTGTTGATAGATACTATGATCAGCTCTGTGCCCTTCAAGATAGAATTCCTGCAACAGAAGTACAAATCCCTTTCAAGTGGAAAGATGCCTTCAACAAAGGCTCACTTTTTGGCGGCCGTATTAGTCACAGTAAGTCAGTCTTATAATTTTCACTATCGTTCTCTTCTCATGTCCTCCAATATTTTCATGGTAAAAGATGATGACATTCTCTATTTCTGAAGCTTGTCACGAAAAATACTGGCTCCTCCTTCAAATGTTTAAGATCGCAATCATCTCCTAACTTACTTAATATCAAATTCAAATCTCCACAGTAGGATTGTAGAAACTTCTTGACAGCCGACAACATGATGCCATGGCAAAGAATCTTGAAAGAGGGATGGCCAGTTCAGAGAAGTATTAAGTAAAACCGTCTAATGATTCTCAGCGAAGGGGTCTCGGAAGGTTTTTAACTCACAATGAGAATTTAAAAGTTTGAAAACATGTGATAGCAGTAAATAGTCAGTTGGTCTGTGATTGTGGAATCTGTGAATGCTTCAGCACAGCAAAATTATATTGATCAAGTCAAAATTTTCAAGTCATGTTTAATTATCATTACCTTTAGTTAAGTGATGATAAAAACTTTGAAGTTTTTTTTGTTTTGCCAGCATCAGCAAACTTCATTGTGTCTTTTTTTGTAAATTTTCAAGGTTTTTACTTTTTAACTTTGAAACGCTCCTGAAGGGCCAATTTCTGGAATTTAGAGAATTTCTTGCGCAAAATGATGTAGAAGTCACCCATCTTAGCTGCGGTATAGTTATATCATCCCTTACCCCTCAATTTAAGGGCTATTTTTCCCTACTCCACCACATAATTTAATCTTTCAATCAAAGCAAGACAATCAGCATTTTTGCTTAAGCGTCTCCACTAGCATGAATTTTCATGTCTGTGACTGTACTATGTGAACTAGATAGTCAAACCTCATCATAAAACATGAGATATTACCCCAGGTAAAGTACTCCATCTCTGCACATTTTTCCCAGGCATATTAACTGTAGACTCGGATGCTCGTTTTGACAGTTATATAATGAAGTTGAACTCCCAATGTTTATCAAGGGATGTAGCATTTTATTGCTCTACTCTCTCTTTATGACTTCTCATTCATTCCGAGAACATACTTAATTCCCTTTTATCTTAATGTGCATAAATTTCTCCGCGCTGAATTTTGAATTGAGCTTAAAAGTATTCTGTTCTTTTTAGTGCCCTTCCTAACTACATTCTTTTTTTCTCTGTTTTAGCGGTGAATTCTCTTATCTTTGAGAAAGCATGTGTCATGTTCAATATTGCAGCTCTGCAAAGCCATGTTGCTGCCAGCCAGAGTCTGGAAAATGATGATGGTCTAAAATTGGCAGCAAAATTATTGCAAGTAAGTACTGCACTGACTGTAGAGTGCTGGAACCTATAAATCACTCTTGAGTAAATGCATCATCTTACTGCTCGATTAAACATTAATGTTAGCCAAATTTTTATAGACTGAGAATTTGAAACTTTTGGAGAAAATATCAGGCAACTTTGGAGTAAAATATTTAAGTGATCTAAAAAGGTTGCAAAATAAGTTCATCCACGCAAAATTCCAAAATAGGAGAAATGTTCGCTATGGAGTTTTAACTGTTCTTGATATAATTTAGCGCAAAAGAGCAAAAAGTGCAAAAGGAAACCAAGATTTCATTTCTTTAAAAAAAAGTGCACATGGAAAATTGTTTAGTTTTTATAATGCAATTGAAACTATAGTCCGTGATACAAAAAGTGGCGATTAAGGGGCAGAGTTTGGTGAGCAATTGAATCTATCGTTAAAGAGTTGATTGGCGTTGACCACTAAATCCCCTCCCCAACTGCCACTTTTCATTTCATAGACTAAAATATGATTGAAAATGTAAAACATTAAAATTTTTCAAATTTTGATTTGTGAGTCAGTGATTCACAAATTTTTAAAGCTACCACGGTTCCTAGTAATGACTTCAAGAATAGTTCCAATTTCCAGAAAAGTCTACAAAGAAATCAGAATTCAGTCGCAAATATGACAGTTGAAATTTATCATTCTTTGACTATCCAAGAGAAACTGTGGTGCAATCGCACTCCTGTTGAAACTTAATTTCAAATTCAGAGCACCCTGGCTTCTTAAAGACAACAAGGTCAGAGTAATTCTCTTGTTGAGATCTGAAGAGAGAAGATCACATGAGAAATTTGCTGCTTTTTCTTTAAATATTTCTGAGTTACACATTTATAGCTCATTGTCTTTTTTATCCTATCTTTCAGCTATCAGCCGGTATTTTCAGCGCGTTGAAGCACCTATCCTCTCTTCAGACACAACCATTCCCTTCGATTGATTTGCATCCAGATGTTTTGCAGACACTATCTAGTTTAATGTTAGCCCAGGCGCAAGAAATCTTTGTTCACAAAGCACTTCATGGTAAGACTCAGATCTTGATCTTCAAAACATTAAATTTACAGGATTTTTCATTTTCAGCTCATGAAATTAAAAGGCTTTAAAACCAGAACCTTTTGTAGCAGCCTTTCTTATTGTCTGACTATCTATCGTGTCTTACTTTCATAACTCAAACCAAGCTACCACCCCTTTTGATACGTTCTGAGAATTTTCCCTGCACTGTAAAAAAAAAATAATTCTCAAACTTTCTAGGTAAGATTCTGTACTTTAGAGGAAATCCGTGAGTTTGTGTGAGAAATTTTTTATGAAGACTTTCTCCAGCAAAATCAGAGAATAAGACACGGACACTGATTCATGAACCGTTTTCACTTGAATCTTTCTTTCGACTTCTTCGGAAGAAGAAAGTTTCAAGCTGAAATTGGGACTAATTTCTTCCTGCTCCAAAGAACTTTTTACCTCCTTGAATATAATGAATATTTTTTGTTTTGCAGACAACATGAAGGATGCTATTGCCGCAAAGCTGTGTGCACAAGCTGATGAGTACTATGCTGAAGTAATGAAACACATCCAGAAGGAAGCATGTCGCAACATCTGGGATTCAACATGGCTTCCTCTCATCTCTGGGAAACAGGCAGCATTCCATGGCCTTGCTGAGTATTTCCAGTCGCTTGTTTGCAAGCAAAACAAATCAATTGGCGAAGAAATTGCACGTCTTCAAAAATCCATGGAGCTGTTCAAGGCGGCTCAGTCACGCTCTGGCAAACCACTGTTTCAAGATTTTATCGGCAAGGTCTGTCAAATCATGCTTTCTAAATTCGATGATCAATTGTTGTATTATATTTTTCGGAGGACTGAGAAGAGGAGATTCAACTATTCATTTACAAATAAATTAGTCGGTAATTTTGCAACAATACAGGGATGCAAAAAATTTTCAGTTGAATAATTTACGAGATGAGTATGTTTGAGCACAAAAATGATAATGCTGATTTGTATCAAGGTAAAAATCATGTGTTATCCGCACATCTATGCATTATTTGAAGTGAGAATAGAAAAGAGGGGTCGGGGGGTTGGCGTCATTTTGGAAAACGAGAGGCTTCCAAGAAGAAAGGCAAATTGGAAAATATGATGGCCATGAACCCTCTAAATTCTTATAGAATTGATAAAATTCATCAAAAAGCACATCAACTAAAGCTTAGGGAATGTTAAGAGTTGCAAGTTATACCATTGTCAAGACGAGTGATTTTAAAATATTTTTCTTGTCACCTTAAATGCATCGGTTTAGGATAAACCTCCCATGTCACCACCCTCTTTGAACAGTGTTCAACAGAAAATAGATATTATATCGTATTATATTGTATAGATATTATATGTACTGCGAAATGAAAGTTAAAAAATGATTGTTTTCTGTAGCCAAGTATTTATCCAGATTTATGTGGGCGAATCAGATTAAGGTAGGTCAGCTTTTGAAAAGTACCTAAAATCATCGCAGATTTAATAGAAAAAAAATTGTGTAGGTACCTTACCAATCTAATTCCATTTTTTTTCTTGAACAGGTTCAGCGAAATCTGGCAGAGGCAGAAAAGGACAATAATTTCATATATCATGAGAGGATCCCGTCAAATTTGGAACCTATCCCGAAAGCAGCCATAGCCAAGATTCAGCCATTACCATCAAAACTTTCAGCCAAATTCAAAGGTAAACATTCCTTGATGTTACCCTGTAACTTGATTAAAGAATCGAGGGCATGGAATAGAAATTTCTTCGGAATGGTCAACTAAAAATAGGAATGGTAACTTGCTTTTATCGTGAAATTTTGAAGAGAAAGCATGTTGAGCAGTGCTCGAGTTCACATTTATCAAGAGGCTCATTGTAGTAAATGAGAACATTGTGAGTCCAGTGTTAAAAATATGTCCAATACTTCTATCGAAAGATTAAATTGCACCATACACAAGAACCAAATATACTTCTTACATGCAACTGATTAGTTCAATGTAAGTAATCTAAATGAAATTAAAATATTTCGAAGTTTTTGTCACAAGAAACAACTTTTTCGAGCGCAGCTCAAGAGGTGATGCTAATACTTCTAGGTTAGATGTGTTCATTTCAGTTTTCATTCTGTTCTACACTGTTGACAGGTAATGATTAGATCATATCGACAGCTACCGCCTAACTGACAATTTTGGCAAAAATGAGTTAGCAACTTTGCTGCATTCTTCAGTATCAAACTTAAAACCTGATGGTTTTAGTTTTTTTCCAATGAGAGCACTGTAAAGATGCTGTAATGTATGAAAAAAAATTGCAAATCCAACCTCAAAATTACAATAATGACAAAGTTTCATCTTTGTTCGTCAGAAAGAAGAAGAAGATCGTCAGTTTGCAGTTAGGCGATACATTAACAAATACATATCATTATGTACTATTACATTTGATCCTATATTTTGATTTTTATTTCAGATATTTTTGAGAACCTAGTACCCATGTCCGTGCATCAAGCCCTCGCTGCGTACGATGTTAGGAAAAGTGAACTCGTAAATACCGAGATTTCAAAGTTGAGAGAGAACACACAGTTTCTCAACAGGTAATGTATTTTTACCCTTTTTCCAAATTATTTATGGTTAAGAATGTTTGAAGATGAAATTTTCTGAATTGTATCCAACATACTTCACATTTTTTTTAATATCACAGATTTTAACACTTTTAGGATTTCCACTTAATTAACCAAGAGTTTTCATCAACTATAGTTTTGCAACAAGATAAAGTTCCTTTCAGTGGAAATTTTTTGCAATCCTCTGATTATGTTTGAAGTCACCAGCCGCAGTGTTGCACAACTGATAACAGTACAACCTCGATTCACTGGATCACAATGTACCAAATTCTTCTATTTTTCCCCTGTTTAATTTCTAGGGGCCCTATAGAAACAATTTAAAAAAATGTCGATGAATAACGAATAGAAATTGCAACATAATTTGATTTAGTGGGTTGTAGTTCTCTTCAATCCCAGTTTAAGTGTTAGCTTCTTCAAGTTGTTTATGTTTTGTATTACCTTCCTCCTATCAGTCGTCAAAAAATGCCACCGATTAATTTTAATAGGGGAATCATGAATTCAGTATGCACAAAACAATAATTAATCTTGTTGTTTGTTACAGTGTCTTGGCTTCACTCAACCTTCCAGCTGCATTAGAAGACACAACAGGTGTTGCAGTCCCACCATCAGTAATTGAGAAATCACAGGCCGTCCAAGCCTCCGGGGGTATTGAAAAACTTGACCGAATGATGCGTGAACTTCCAGACCTGCTTCAGCGGAACAAGGAAATTTTAGATGAGGTGCGCTCATGTCCCTCAAGCGCATCTAAGTCACTTTTTTCTCCCATTGATTTCTTTTATTAAAACCGTAAACAAACGCTTATCTGTACTCTGAGATTCTCCCTTGGTCTTTTAGTTCTGCAAAGGTTTGGAAACTTAAATTATTTATCATTTGGAAGTGGTTATCTCATAATTTGCGGCCATCTTGCTCCATTTTTTTCATTTAAATTTATTTTATTGTTTCTGTTACCTAAGTGGAAAACGAGTTTTAAATTTATCCTCCATTCATTTCAAATTATTGATTATCAAATGTTTTTTTAGTTTTTTCTTGGCTTTAAATTTAATTTCTATAAAAAAATATTTCACATCTGCAAATAAATTCCTGACAAAATTAGGAAGTTATTGTGCACGCTTGAAAATTGATAAGCTATTTTCCAGGCTTATTGCTCAAGTCTTGAAAAAAGTTACATGCCACTATTTTTTTCGATTTTTTTCTTATTAATTGATTATTTTTAATTCTTTGTTTTAGACTGATAGAATGCTAAATGAAGAGAGAGATGCAGACAACCAGCTGCGGAGCCAGTTCGGAGAAAGATGGACACGAATTGACTCGGATAAACTCACAACGGTGCTCAGAAGTAATGCTGCTAAATATCGACAGATCATTGATAACGCTATTTCAGCCGACAAGGTATACTTTCTCTACATCATGTAAATTCAACCTAACAATTTATCATTTGGTAATTTCTGTGCATTTCTGCTGAAGAATGAAAGGCTAACAAAAATTTGTATGAAAAAAAACTTTATCAGCCAAAAAAATTACTAAATAGCAACTTAATCCGGCGAAAGGCTGCAATAAAATACATCAGATCGATGAAACCCGGGATGCTTTGGAATAATTACAATATCATTCGCAACGGGAAAACAAGGAAAAATAGAGTCATCAATTTGCTGTCATTCCGAGAATGAGACTAATTACGAAGTAAACAGTTCATCCTATAAATAATTTAATTAATTTTTTTTAAACTTTGTTTCATGTGTACTGTTTTCAGATAGTTCGTGATAAGTATGAAAAGAATCGAAATGGAATGACTTTGTTGAGTCAAGGCCCTGCAAGTATAGAGGCTGTCTTGCCTGCCAGTGCGTCCGGCTCATGTAACTCCTCAGCTGCAAGTCAACTCAGAGCTCTCATGGAAGAAGTAAGCACCCCTCTTTCAGTATGATAATATCTTCCAAATGAAGATTTAAGAGAAGAAAACTTTAACTGACTCCTTCAATGTCTGATTAACTGATCAAGGATCTGAATAGGCCCTAATTATTACCTGAATAATCCTGACGTATATTGTAAAGGTCGACTTTTCCCGCTAGGGGAAAAGCCGCCTTGGTGGACCGGAGTCCTGGAGGGATAACGGATAGGACATCCAAAAGAGAAAAAAAGAAAAGAACGCGGAAATAGGAGGAACCCTCCTATGCCCAACCTCCACAATGGATCACACAATCATGAACACTAAAACTAACAAAAAGGATTCAGCCCCGAAGGGCTGATTTCAAAAAAAGGGAAAAACTTACATCACGCAAGACTGATGTCTAGGAACGGAATGGCTTCGCCTGACTTGTGTTTTCGGGTTCCCCCGCCTGCGCGCTGTTGGCGGAGGAAACCGAAAACACAAGTTTCAAAATTCTGGCGGGAGGGCTATTGACTCTTTACAATATAATCGACTGCCCTCAATCATCCTCGCGTTGCGGCTACAACAGCTTAAATTATCTGGACCTCAAAACTCATGAAGAACTCTACCAGTTGCGACTTAATTTTTCTCAATCTAATTCAATTTATCTCAGAAGAAAATTGAATACCTCAGTTCAAATGTGATCCATCTTGGATAAATAAAATTTTTCAGGAGACGATAAAAATTGATTAACAGTCAGAAAAGGAGTGTGTTTAAGCAAAAAGAGTATAAAAAACCTAACCAACCTTTGTAAAAACCCTAAGTTGGGTCATTTTCAAACTGAGAGATTGAATTGTAAAGGAGACAAATTTTCTTTTAAAAAATGAATCACAACTGTAACTGGAATTAGCCATAAATCTTTTGAATGTTTTAGATTGCCGAGTGACCTTTTTGCTTATCAGAATAATGGTGGATCTATAATTTGACGGTAAAATCTAACCGAATCAGATTTGGGTACCTACATCGAATTTGAAATCTGTGCCAGGCACAACCCAAAATTTTATAATGTACTTAATTTACAATTTGTCGTTCATTCACAGGTAGAAACAATGAAAGCTACACGTGATGTAATAGAAATGGAGCTGAAATCCGCTTCAACAGACATGAAAGCGCAGTTCCTAAATGCACTCTCCGAAGATGGTTCAATCAATGAGGCCTCAATGTCAGAAGAAATTCTGTCGCAGTCCTATGGGCCACTTAAACGCCAAGTCCAAGAAACTCTGTCAACGCAGGAGTCTCTTTTGGCACAAATACAGGTTGCGTTTTATTTTCATTTCTATTTTTTTTCCTTATCCCGACTCCCAAGAAGTTATTTTATCCACCCTGTGCATGTTTTTGGTTCATTTTAATCTTCCTCCTAAAACATCAACAAGGAAAACTTATTAATAATAATAAACTGGCTTTCACTGCCCAGAGCTTAGTTGCATCTCTCCTAAATTTCTCTAATAGTCAATATGATTTCAGATAACATTTTTACAGGGTTGCCACTGCAGGAAATGCTGGTAATTGTCAGGGAATTTGACGAAAGTGTCCGGGAAGAATAATTGAGTCACCTTTATTTGCTTCCCAGAATAATTTTGACGTTTCAAACTACAAATTGTGTGTTTTTATCAATCTGGCATATCTTCAATGGTCACAGAATTTTTTCTAAATGTGTCAGAGAAATATCAGGGAATTCCATTTTCTAAATTATGTGGCAATCCTATCTTTAGCAACATTATAATTTCAAAAATAAATTTAAAAATTGGGCTTCGTGCAATTTATTCTCAAGTCCAACCTTTATCAACAATTATCTTAGCCATTCAAACTCTTTGTGTTTCCATTTTGTCCTTAAATTTTTATCTTGTAGTAATTTATCTATTCCTTTGATTTTTAGAAAGCCAACACAGAATTTTCCAAGGAGAAGAATTGTGCTCAGGCAGCGACTCAAAGAGAGAATATGCTGAAGGATATAGCTGCAGCCTACGACACATTCTATGAACTTCAAAGGAATCTAGAAGAAGGAACCAAGTTCTACAATGATTTGACAGCAGTAAGTTGAACACTTTTTTCAAGAAGAAATCTTTATCGTGTGTCTGGTCTCCTTAATTTCTAGACAGACACTAATTTCACTAATCTTGATGAATTTAAACCTTTAGAATTGAAACTTTGATTGCATTTTATTATAGTATCCTTCATTAAAGTAATCTTGACCAATAATGGGTTCGATGCATGGCTAAAAGCGGACTGTGGCTGGTTCTTAATCGTTTGAAATCTTGTATATTCCGATTCCAGGCTATCTCACCTCTCATAATGAACAGAAAACGGAACAGTGCATCCACCACAACCAACAATCCAGGGGAAAATCTGGGTATGTGGTGACGTTCATACTTAAAGACATTTTTGTTTTCTTTCAGGTATTGGTCACATTCCAGAACAAAGTATCAGACTTCTGTTTCGCACGAAAAACAGAAAAAGAAGAGCTTCTGAAAGACTTAACTAAATCGCTCGGCAGGGATGCACCCAGTAGCGCACCAGAGGCCCCTGCTCATCATGGTATGCTCTCTATTTTCTATCAACTTTTTTCCGAGTGTAGATGGATAGGCAAGTGGAAGATATGTTTCCCACAAATATGAATAAAGGGGAATATCACAAAATTTAAACAGAAGGAAAAAATCCGTTTTTTTTTTTTTAATCATAAAATATTGTAACTTTATACCGAAGAAAAACTGGGGTTTGATGTCAAATCTGTAAGTACGTCACCTTCCATAATGTTCATCTTAAGCAGTCCTTTCTACAATGAACCACTAGACAAGATAACACATAAAGAACTTGTTTTCTCATCAAAATTTTAAACGGAATACGCTGAAGATTTTGAACAGTTCCAGAATTAATTCATAGGTGAGAAATAAATGTTAGTGGTATGCATGATAAACAGTATATTCGGAAAAATCACAATTAAAGTAGGCCAAAGTAGACATTAAATTCTATCCATGCATTAAAAAAATGACTAGAGCTTTGTTACACACACATTTACACACACCTCTTCCAATAAAGGTATCTTGAATCTTGTCAAAAAAAAGTTAGCACTCTGGAAAATTATTCCATCGCAAAATACACCAAAATTAGTTAAATACTCAATTTGACACATTGACTAAATTTTTTCTGTGAGTGAAAATTGTGAATCAACAACCGCCAACGATTTAACCAATAACCTAAAACCTGATCCATTGGCTGCAAAATTCCAAGGAAAAAAATTTAATATATTTTTTTTCGAATTTATTCAGTTTTTCCATCCACTTCTTCACCTTATTAATATTTTCAACAAATTAAAATTTCAGAAGCAGCAAAACAGACTCAACCAATGCCCCCTGCTGTTCCTAGTTCAAATAGCAATACATTGCCGTACCCAACGATGCCTCAAGGGATGCCTCAGCCTTATGCACCTGTGGGTGCTGCGCCATACCCAACCTATGCCGTTCCGCAAATGCCCCAATCGTACAATCCTTACGCCACTTTGCCATACCCACGGCAACCTCCACCAGGTAATTGAACTCATTGTTGGTTTGATCCAGTCATTGTTCTTATTTATGATGTAGTCCAAGCTCCGAGGAATAGGATATTAGGATTCTGCTGAGTCTATGCCATTCCTTTGGGAGGAAAACAATTCTAAGAGGTTTATACAAATCAATCAATCCAAAGGATTACGTACAGAATACCAAGAAACTCAGTACAGGCCAAATTTTTATATTATTTGATGTGATGATGTTCCTCGCGACCTTTCAAACATGATGAGCTTTTAAAATTAAACTTTTTCTGTGCTAATTTTGAGAAAATCAGGTCAGAAAAGTGCCTCTTTCTACAGTTTAAAATGCAGTATTCAGTGAAAAAACTTAAGTGATCAAGGAGCTAGCTTCTTCTTCCTTGTCTCATGCTGGACAAGTATGCTAGCATCCTAGGTGTGTATTTCCTTTAAATTGACATATTTCTGCCAAACGTAACTATGTGCATAATGACTTAAGTCCTGTCATGCATAAATTCTTATGGGTCTCAGGGCTCATGTCTTCATGGAAGTAGTTCTGTTTGGCAGAAATACATCCAAATATGAAAAATTCTGACTATTATTCCCGAAAAAATTATTTACTTTTTAGTTTAAACGTCCCCAAAGACTAATCATATATGTACATATTTTTTTTTCAGCATCCGTTTCCTTTAATGTGAAATTATAAGAGAGAAAAAATAGGTAGCTTTTTTCTTCATGGCTGTGATTTTCTCTTCTTTTTTTAATAAAACTAATAACATTTTTTCCCCAATCTTTGTTACAGGTTATGCTCCACAAGGCTATCCACCGCAGCCTGGCTACCCAATGCAACAACAATACCCTCAATATCCCCCACAACAGCCACCTCCGCAGTGGTAGTTGTGGACTGAATCTTAATTTTATATCTTTTATATGTTTTTCTAGGAATTTTATTTATTTAATTTAATTTAATCGTATTTTTGCATCCGCTTGCGATCAAATCAAAACACTGTTGTATGAGTGAATCAAGCGCAGACTTTAATCACCGGTATTCTGAATCATATTGTTGTACCAGTTGTTCTTTTTTTAACACAATTGTTAGGTTTTATCAATCATTCTTAAGCTTCCTGCTATTGTGTAAGATACAATCTTCAGCTGAGTAAAAAAATATTTTATTTTTATGATGTCTTTCGTTTTACGTTTTCCTCAATATCCTAAGTTAATCTGTAATTTTAGACCTTAATCGACACTACGCTGGTCAGCAGTTTGTTAATCTAGGATTTCTAGGTCAAGCAAATACTATTATCTTTAGTAGCAAGCACTGTCAAAAGAACTTCAAAAAACTTTTTGATTTCAAAAAGACAACTCTTTTAAAAACAGTAAGTATTAATGTGTTTGATTTAGGAAACGATTTTTGTTTGTTTTTTTTTTTTTTTTCAAAGTAAAATTTTATGAGCGGTAAAATTTCAGAAAAAGAAGTGTTAAAAGCTTGAAACAAACAGCTTTTCAAACGGTAGAAAGGTTTTTTTCAAAGATTTTTATGTAAACTTCACCAGACTTGAACACTAAAAAAAGAACCTAAGTGGGATTTTTGTATAATTATTAGAGTTTTTGAAAATTACTTTCCACAGGTCATTGCCTCTTGGGGAAGCCAATGTCAAGAGATGAATGTAACATGTAGTCAGTAACATTCATATTACCAATTAGGATTTAAAAAAGGTATCAGCCGAGAACAAAAAAACAAAACAAAAAATCTACTTTACAAGAAGTTCTGATTGGGAATGTAAGGAGTTCAGTATTTTCCCCTTAATTAGAGATTTGACTTGTTTTAAAGGAAATTCTGTTCAAATTTTTGCAATTAACCCCCTCCCACAAGAAAATGACACATCGACGGTGTAAATCGGCAATCACATAACTCGTTTGCGGTGTCTGAAAATCTCCACCTCTATGTTATTTTTTTAAAGGAGAATAAATTGACATCATTCCTTGAAGTTTTTGCAGAATTTTCTTGGCACAGAGAAGAAAACTCACGGCAGTTTTAAAGAAGTGTCGTTGAGTGGTTTTCCGTTTAAACAATGAAATATGACAGGAAGTCTGCGACGTCGCAAACCGAGTCATGTGATTGCCGACTTACACCGTCGACATATCTCCTTCTAACAAACTTCAGTCCCCTGAAGTTTTATGGGAAATGGCCAGTCCCCCTTCTCTCATTATCTCTGAACATCATGGAAAAAAGATACCTTTTTTTGACCATTAGAAAGTAGATAGCTAAAATAAAACGAAAACTCGAAAAACTTTTCGCCTTGGAGGCCGCACAAGGAAACATCGAAATCTAAAAAAGACTCACTTGCACGTCAAATTAATTAAATTAAACTAATTTAAATTAATTTGACGTGCAAACGAGTCTTTTTTAAATTTTGAAAGTAGATAGCTGTCAATAAGTACAGAAGTAACCTAGAAACAGAGAACTTTTATTAAATTTTTTTCATTACATAGAAAGTTGCTGGAAAGTTGTCAAGCTCGTATTTCAGCGCCGTTGTCAGCATCCAATCAGAAAGCTCAGGTCAGTTCATGATCTTGCTGACGTCAACGATGACGTTTCAAGATGGAAACCGCCTTTACACTGCCTCATCATTGAGCACCACATCAACAAGTCAATTTCGAATACAAGCTGAAGCCGAAGCCTTTTCGGACTCGCGAAAGTACCATTTTTTTGGGTACTTTTTCTCTTATTTTCAGTCCGAACTAAAATTTATACAGTTGCAGTGATTCTGTGTTTAGTATATTGTCATTAGTTTTGTTAATAATCGCATCAAGATGCTGAAAGACAAAGAAGTCGCCGAGAAGAAGGCTACCAAAGTCGAGAAAGAAGAGCTGGTAAGTCTCTAATTTCTCCGAGTTTTATCAATTCTTACGTTCGTTTAGAATATTTTCGCTATTTCCTTCTAAATTACGCACCTTTTGCTCAAAGTTTTGCCTTGATTTTGCCCTCAATCTCGGTACATTTTCTAATGTGCCTGCTGAGTCATTCATGTTTTGAGGTTAGGAATTGAATGTGATAAAGACTATCATACACAATCTAAACGTCGTTTACAATGAAGAACCGCTTTTATCACGAGAAATGTAAGTGAAATGGTTGAAGTTTCACTCTTAATAGTTTTCAATGTAAACTGTAAGACTGCGACACTCCTGAAGCTAGATTAATGACTCGGACAGATCCTTACATCTGACAATGAGCGCACTGCTGTCATATGACGAATTAAAACTGCAAAAATCTTCCCATTGATAAAGTAGTTGTGTAGGTCAGTCTGAGTAGCTGTACATGTTTCTTCCCTCTTATTCTTCTCCCCTTATATCCTGGCCTTTTCTTTGCCACATACTGAAATGGGGAAATAGCACCATTAGCTGAGGAAACAAAAATTTGTTGAAAGGCGAAGCGGAACTTTGCACCTGAGGCAAAAATTCGGGGTCAAGACAAATGGTGGCGTCTATTACTTATTGCTCCCCCTACTTAAGGTTGCATGGAAGGGCTTGAATCTGATTGCGGTCAGCATATTTTCCAGACCTTTTAGACTCTATGTGTTGTTTCTAAGTCTGGGAAGAGAGAAGATGCAGACCAACAGATTTAATATGGTTTCAGAATAAAACATCTCTTTGTCGTGTTCTCACTGGATTTCAAAAAGTGGCAGCTCTCTCATCATTTGAGCAGTCTGATGTAGGTCTGAGTGTTATGTATTGGTTGGTCGATCTAATTATTTATCAAAACTTGGATAATTTAATTACGCGTAAACTGATGAAAGCGCTGGAATCAGTTTGACACTCTGAAAAATCTGCTACCAATGCAAATCTTGTAAGTAGTATAACTTCTCCTCTTAATTTAAAAGTGATTGATCTGTTTTTTCTATTTTTCAGTCCGAGGAAGACAAGCGCTTACAAGAAGAATTGAATATGCTAGTGGAAAAAGTGAAGGTAAAGTCAACCTTCTGCACATGTCTCCAGACTTTTTATTATTTGTCTACAGTCTCTATTTTCTCCTTTACCAAATTTCTTTTAACAAACCTAAAACTCTATAGATACCTACAGAACAATGCACCTACTTCTCAAAGTGAAAATTTCTTGTTGACTCAGCCCTAGCTTATGAAGACTTGTATCATATCGAAAGTAATAATAAATTATTGTTCAAAGTTAATAAGGAAGCCCCTCAAGCTGTACCTATTCATAGTTTTTATACTGCAATGCTCATTTTGTTTTGATGTATATAACCAGGGGGTTAGGAAGAATGAAGACTCATTTGGAAGCTTCACATCACTATTGAGTGTATTTGTGCACGTAAACCTTACGCGTATCGTTGTTTCTAGCATATAAACTTTCTATTGTCTAAATATCTAACCTAACCATAACATCAGAATTTTACTCAAAGCATCTTAAATATTCTTAAACTGTTCTTAGGGCCCAGATGCTGCCTTGTACCTTCCAGCATTAGAATCACTACGAACGCTAATTCGCTCATCAACAACTTCAATGACTAGCGTTCCGATGCCCCTGAAATTCTTGCGTGATCACTATGGAACTTTGAAAGAGGCTGCAGAAAACATGAAAGACAAGAAAGCACAAGACCTCTGCTGCAGTATTGTCAGTGTGCTTGCCATGGGTCAAGATCTTCGCGACTCGCGGGAGTCGCTCAAGTACTGTCTGAAGGCTAATCAGACAGACGTCGGAGACTGGGGTCACGAATATGTTAGGTAAGTTGTGCAGTCTTGTCATTTAGTTAACCATGTAATCTGCTTAACACACATTATCTGCACAAGAGCCAAAACATTTTTTCAGATCTAAAAAAGATCGATAAAAGTTTTTCTGTGCAATCTGACCAATTTTTAGCTAGAAGCAGGTTAGTCAAAAGTTCATGACGAATGAAAGACCTGAACCTATTGAAAATCAAAACTTGGTCATTTGTACTAGTGCATAATGAAAGGTTCCTCTAACATTTTGAGATTAAAAATAACCACAGAAGTCAAACTCATCCTAAGTTGCAGCCCTTTAAAGTTTGTAGTTCAAGTAATGTAGTTTTAAAAAAAAGATTTTTAAAATTCTAACCTGCCATGTTTGAAGGACAAAATTACAATCTGCTGAATTAAAGAACTAAACCTCCATTTAACTTTTTGTCTCCTATCGGTCAAAAAATGAATGAAACCTCTGCCTTGAGAAATCATGTTTTGGCTCTTCTGGCCAAATTTGATGTGAAAGTAAATTGGTAAAAATTTGTACTTACGTCCCTAATATTTCTTTCACATCTTTCTACTAGATTATACTAATTTTTCCTTTATCCTCAATTTTTAGGCAGTTGGAAGGTGAGCTCGCTGAAGAATGGGATCTCCAAGAGACGGAAGCAGACAAAATGAAATTGCTGCCTCTGATCGAGAATATCATCCAATTCGACATGAAGCACAATGCAGAGATCCAAGCTTGTGATCTTGTAATGGAAATAGATCAGCTAAACTTGTTGGACAAATATGTAGATAAATCTAACTATCAGCGTGTTTGCCTGTACTTTTTGAAGTAAGTCCTGTTTTTTTTTCGGTCTTCTTAATTTCGAAAAGAGCCATTATGTAATAAATGTTAGATCTTGCAAAGGTAAGGCGCGTTGATTGATAAGAGTTTTTCCCAAAATAATGCTACATTTTCAGTAATTTGGAAAATTTTAACCGAATATTTGAGAAAATCTGAACATATCAGCAGCAAATATGTGAAGATACTCAAAAGATTTGGCACTGAGCAGGTTTTCGGCAGTCTGGAGAACCTACAAAGTTAAGGAATTTACAGCGACTTAGAAAAGTCATGAAAGTTTTATCTCAGCTCAGCAACATAATGAAAATAAAAAAATCTGAGTGGAAAGAATGGTTCAAGGGTCAGGGAAAGTCACTAATTTGGAAATCTTGGAGTCGGAGAAAGTCAGAGAATTGGATATTACGAAATAATAAACCCTGAATTATGTAAGGAAAAATGGAAAATTGCAACAAGAGGCTGTCATTCTGCAATTTTCTGCATGGCTACCTCCAAAATTTTCCCTTTTCTTACCTCATCACTATCGCCAGAGTTATTTTTTAAAGACCTTTTTATTGCTGTTTTTTTTCTTTCTTCATGTAGTTTGATATCTCTCCATACTAGCATTATTATTAAGTATACCACCTTCTGTGTATTTGCTAATTCAATTAATGAAGGAAAAATTAATACATGCTGTATCGTCACTTTTACAATGTGGCTCAATTTATTTCTTCTTTTCAGTTGTGCGTGGTACGTGGACGAAAGTGATCGCGGTAACATTTTGAAGCTGATAATGGATTATTACATGCGTTTCCAGGAGTATCCTCGCGCATTGTGCCTTGCAATGCAGCTTAATCAAATTGATGTCATGACTGATATCTTCAATCATTGCTCAGATCCGTAAGTGTCTCCATGTTAAGTATCTCATCTCACTTTATTTTTAAATTTTGACGTGCAATACTTTTGTATCAAAATTGAACTATCACTAGCATATTTTAAATTCTGTGCATTGCTTCAAATGTAAATAAACATTTTATACCAGAAACTTACCCTTAAAATTTGGTATTTCCTTAGTACTACTAGTTAGATTCCTTCACATAGAATATAAGCAATTAGTTCACAGCGTCCAAAAGATGCTTTTCCAAAATTATAATAACAAACTACTTGAACATTTGCAGTAGAAAGCGAAATTTTAATGTAGATTATATAGATAAATATTCTGTACTTTCTAAAACTGTACTTTACTTGCACTGTACTTGTTACTTTTTGTACTTTCCTTATTCTAATCTGATCGAGAAATTTTACTTATTTTCTTCAACAATTTGAGTTTAGTGGAATGTCTTTAAAGTCTTTATCAATTTAACTCATAAGCATATCTCAGCAGCTATGCTGCCAATTTTGGGTGTAAATATTCTTGGCAGAGTGTTGTGAACTACTTTCTAGATGGTAAATCAGGGGTACAAAAACTTCTTCTCGGTCATATTAGTGGGGGAAAAATGTGATGGAAATGGGGAGGCCATCAGGGGTTTTAAAAATGAGAAAGCGAAATGGTGGATAGTGTACGCTTCAAACTTGTGCTTAATTACGAGAGAAAAAAAGAAAATAAGTCATCACTTGGAAGTTTAAAAAATTAAAATAAGTAATGAGAGGTCTCAAACAGAGGAACCAATTGAAATGAGAAGGCTAAACATTTTCTCATCCCCACCGTATATTCATGCCAGATTAATTAACTTTGTTTTTCTCCTTGTTTATCTTCATACAGCATCATGAGGAAGCAGTTAGCATACATGGTTGGTCGCCAGCAGATCACTTTAAATTTGAGTGATGACCTTGCAGACAGTCAAGACTTGATAACGATAATGTCAAACACGCACGTCAATGACAATTTTCACACTCTGGCCCGTGAGGTAAGTTCTACTTCATATTTTTCAAAAAAAAATCTAGAAAATAAGTTTTTCATTTTTACACCTCTGATAGTAGGTTATCAAGCACTCAATTTCCCATTTTCAGTTATTTGAACAAATCTGGTTTGAAAAATGTGTATCTAAATACTCCAAAATACCTAAATAACCTGTCATTTCTCTCTCTGTATTTAGCTGGATATCATGGAGCCGAAAACTCCTGATGAAGTCTACAAAACATGGTTGGAAGGACTCGTGCTACGTCCGACTTACAACTTGGATGTTCCTGTTGATTCTGCACGACACAATCTAGCGTCTACGTTCGTCAATGCTTTTGTGAATGCTGGTTTCTCTCGGGATAAGCTTGTATCGGTTGAAGATGGAAACAAATGGATGTTCAAGAACAAACAACATGGTAATAACCCAAAGTCAGTTATAATCACCTCCCAAAGACAAGGAATAATCAATTTTAAAATATAACCTGTACTTATTCTTAGACAAAACGTTCCTCCTGTAGAATAATGTATTTGTTGAAATCTGAGCTCCTCGAAAGACAGCCCTCAAGACATTCAATATTTTTCAAACCAAATTTTGGGAATGTTGCATTAACTTTTCATTAATCAATCCCTGTAGGCATATCATGAACTTTAGTTTTCCTCTCAGATATTAGCCTTATTGGCCATTTAAGCCCCGCTAATAAGGCCTGTAACAATTATCTGCGCCGGTCTCTCTTACAACTCCATACTTTTTTTGTAACTAGCCGATATAGAAGAGGAAAGAACATTGTCAATTTCTACGAAAGTGATGCATGTAGTTTCTTCCTCTCTTATTAATAGCAGTTTTATTGCATTAATTATTTTACCTCTTGAACTAATGAGCCCAATCAGTAATACTTCCGTTTCTTTTTCTCCTAATTTTTTTTTCCCTATTTTTTCAGGAATGTTGAGTGCTTGCGCATCGCTAGGTCTCATTCACTTGTGGGATGTTGATGGCGGTCTGACTCCTATTGATAAGTACCTCTACACAGCCGAAGAATACATCAAGGTAAATCGATGCATTTTCCAATCGAATCGGTCAGTTACAAAAGGGCTCAAGCGCCAAAATTGAGAATGTGAGAAAAATGGTTTTATCCGTTTTAATTAACCCCTCATAAATCTCAGAGCTCTGAAATATTAAAGCGATGAATTACTTCATCTGTAATTTAAAATAGGTTGGTTCATTCAGTTTCTACCATTTCTTTCGTATTTTTATATCTGGCGCTTGAGCCCTTGTGTAACTGACCGATTCAATTGTGAGGATCATTGTTGCATTTTCCTTCAATTATTCTTCTTCCTGAAAATCCATCATTCTTCCTCTTCGAAAGGATACTGTTTATTTTGGAGAACCATCACATATTCAAACCTCTAGCCCTCTTGTAGAATAGTATTCTTAAGTGCACACAAAAAAAAATCGTCACAATAATTTGGAACAAAAAATACTAAGACTGAAATTATGAAAAAACTAATTTTAGCAAGAAACATCAATGAAAATTTAAGACGATCCCATTTTAAGTTTTCACTTGCAGAGCTATTCAGTCAATCGCTCTTTTTAGTGTATCTGCTGAGGCTTTCATCCTAAATTAATTTAATTAATTGTTGAATAGTGCCTAAGATAATGAATCTAAGATTCTGTGATGAAATATCACTGAAAAACATTTGACTATCATAGAGGAATTCTCTTTTTTAATAACTGATATGTGATTTTGATCTTTATATTTGTAGTCTGGTGCTCTGCTTGCCCTTGGTATCGTCAACTGTGGAGTAAGGAATGAGTGCGATCCTGCTTTGGCCCTCCTGTCCGATTATGTTTTGCATGAAAGCGTTACTTTGAGAATTGGAGCTGTGCTAGGTTAGTATCCACAACCATTCTGTATGCTAAAAGAAAATGATGCATTAAGAATCTTAATTAGATGAGTGGCTTCAATTAAATTATCTCCGAATAAGATCTTTCTACAAGTCTGTAGATATTTTCTGTGACCTCTAAGTTTCATTCTGTTAGATCTACTACCTGTGTTAATCTTCAAGATTGCATAGCGTAATATCTGTGTCCCGAAGTGTCTGCTCCTCCTAAATCTTTTAATAGAGTATTATAAAACATCTAAGTGCAGAATCTCCGGAAAATGTTCTTCAAAAATAAAGTTGCACAAATTTTGCACAATACCTTCACATGATCAGTCGAAAATAAAAAAATTAAAATTTGCATTTTTGCAAATCAGGATAAAAACTACTTGAAAAGTCAATGAATTTTTCTGCGGATCCTTTACTTTTTCTCCCACCCGAAACATCACAATTTTTCAATTTCAAGTAAATTTCTGCTTAAATTTTTGTGAGGCGAATTTTCATGAGAAATAATGTCGCCTCCTTCCTAAAAAAAACCATTATAAAGGTCTGAGAATTTCATGTACAAAAATCCTTAAAAGTCAAGGAAAATTTGAAATTCAATGAAACTTTTCTCTCTGCCTAAGAAGATACCTGGTTTTGTAGTACCCTGATCTCTTTTCATTTGAATTTCTTAAGTTGAACACCAATTGAAGTTGAGTAAGCAAAAAAACAGTCGTAACTCAAAATACAAAACTGTTTAAAAGATAGATGAACACTCTCTTGAAGAATGCAATTTTCCTTTTGCTAAACTTGCGCATTTCTTTTTTCACTCAGGTCTCGGACTCGCATATGCCGGCACAAAAAGGTCCGACGTTGTATCCCTTCTTTTACCCGTAATGACAGACAAGAAGTCAACATCAGAAGTGGTTGCCATGACTGCTCTAGCTTGCAGTTTAATCACCGTCAGCACAGGAGATTCAGAGGTTGTCTCGACCATTCTTCAAGTTCTGCAAGATATGCCAAATACTGAGCTCCTTCAAGGGCCGTACACAAGGTTTTTACCTTTGGCCCTTGGTATTTGTTGCTTAGGTGAGTCAATAAACTGATTACATTCAATGTAATTTCAGTGTTGTATGAGTTTCTGCTCCTCCTCCCCCAGCAGACCGAAACTATCACCGCTTACGAGTCCTTTGACAGGAAAAATCCTCAAAGTTCAACTCAAAAAATGATCTACCATGAAAGGATTTCTTTCATGAAAAATTCTGCTATCAGTTAATTTAATTAACACCTATCTTTTGAGTTCAAAAATTCTTTGATAATTCAATTTTATGAATTTTGAAATTTTCACTAAAATATTAGATTGCCGACAGCTGTACTTCCTGTGGAAAATTATTTTCATGTTTTGCTTGGATTTTCAATTTGCCACTGACGCTTGGTTTTTTGTGACATTGTGATAGCTTTGCTTTAATGATGATTTTAATGTCAACTCATGCATTTTACTTTCTCTACAGGTAAAAAATCAGCAACGGAAGCTGCAGCCGCTGTTCTAGAAGTCTTTCCAGATCCATTCAAATCGATGGCATTAGTTACATTGAAAATGTGCGCCTTCGCAGGCACTGGTGATGTTTTAGTTGTTCAAGATTTCCTGCATATTTGTAGTGAGCATTATTCTGCCGACAAGGTTAGATTTTCTCTAATGTTTTATTTTATTCAGCACTGATATGCCTTCAGTGTTTTTCTGTTGTATGTAATGGATTTATTTTAATTACAAATTTTTATTTGAATGGTGTTCTTGTGCCATTTTGGGTGCAATGTCTAATTTTTATCATCATTTTGATTAACATTTTTGTAATATTTAATAATAATACATATATATATTTGATCCTTTGAATTAAATCTGACGATCCTTGCTTTACACAGGAAGGAACCGTATGTAAGAAATAATAATGTTTCAACGATAAAGTAGGAGTTTGAAAATGCTGGGTCTTGCTCTCAGGCAGACGCATGTTAATGTGGGAAGGTACTAAAAATTTAGTAGGAAAAGTTAAAAGAGAAATGAAGAAAAATCATCTTCTTTTAAATTGTTGGGAAATTTTGTGATCGACTGATATGAAAACTGTGAAAAGCCGGCGGGCGGGTATGTGAAAGTATAGAAACGTGGAAGATTGCACCTCTGCGAATAAGGAGTAAACACTTCTGCATCACAGATAAAAGAGAAATTATTGGTCTCCAAAATTTTTTGTAAGATAATCATCAGGGTGTTCAGTAATACTTATTTTTTAAACCAGCAATATCCAAATTATTGTGTTCTATATTTACGTGAGAAATTGTATCGTTTGATTTTCAGAAAGAGGACAGCAAGGACAAGAAAGATTCTCCGAGCACAAGCGGGGGTTCCAGCTCAAGCAGTGATAAGGACAAGAAGGATTCCAAAGATAAAGATAAGGACAAGGATAAAGATGACAAAAGCAAAGATAAGAGCAAGGACTTGTCATCGAAGCAAGCTGTGGCTACGTTAGCAGTAGCGGTTGTCGCCATGGGTGAGCAAGTAGCCGAAGAAATGACGACAAGAATCTTCGGCCAGCTCGTAAGCTCCACATTTTTCTATGCATTTTTCAATAATTTTCGAAGCTTTTTCTTTTACTTTTTTTTTATAATGCCTGACCTAAAAATTCTAATCTATTTCACCTGTCGTGCACTGTCCGTCCATTTTACTGAGAGGCCAATATAGTTAGTTTCATCAATGTTTACTGTATCATAAACTCTAAATTTCAGCCTTGTACTTACGTAAAATTATTTGGAATATAAAAGTAATGGGGGACCATTTTTTTCTCTTCTTTTTCTTTTATTTCTCTCTAAAAAAAAAAGCACATTGAATTTGTTCACATCAACTAGCAGAGGCAGTGTCAACATCAGTTTCTTTTTTTTTATTTCCTCATGTTTAAAATCAAGGTATAAATTTCTATTTTTGTCGTGAGTTAGGTGTAATATTAACGTTAAGGTAAAACAAATTATGTACAAATAAAATTCTTCTGGTGCAGTTTGAACCTTTGAAACTGGACTGCTTTATACCTTTTTCAAGCATTTATCTCTCGAAAATTTTGTTGCATCTCTTTTATTCTGAATAGCCTGAGTTATTTTATGAATCATTCAGAACATATTTGCTCTGTGTTTGACGCAATAATGTAAAAATTGCATTAACTCAAGACTGAACTTTTTCTATTTTTTTTCCAGGGTCGGTATGGAGAACCAACTGTCCGTCGAGCGGTCCCTCTAGCAATTGCGCTCTCCTCAATATCAAACCCGCAACTAAGTGTAATAGATGTCTTGAATAAGTATTCTCACGATTTAGATGAAGAAGTAGCTCACAATGCTATCTTTTCAATGGGTCTTGTAGGTGCTGGAACCAACAATGCTAGGTCAGTGTCTCTCATAAATTTAGGTTTTGATATTTGAATCAGTGTGTTCGAAAACACACCAACTTGGGTTTTTTTCGATTTTCACTTTTTTGCGGTTTATTAACACTTATGGATAGAAGCATCTGCACGCAAAAGGATATTTCAAAATTGCAATCGAAAGTGCTCAAAACAGCGACGGGAAATGGGAAAAATCGAAGTATTTCATTGGAAATACCAATTTTTTGCCATTTCAAGGGAAATGGGTGACCATCTGATTTTGCGGTTTTCTTTTTTCGGTTCAGTATACCTTGTACTAATAAGTCATATAAATATTCAAGCATTATTCAGGTCGAAAAATATACATTTTTAAGGGCAGACTATGAAAAATCAGTATCTGAAAGTCGGTAAGAACGAAAACACACCAACTCGGAAATGTTTAAACGCTTAATTCTCTGTCATCAAACATTGTGTATCGATTTCAACTTGGTGCTTTACAAAGGCTCTAAGTACTTGTCCTTTGGCACCAAAAAGGTTTTTCTTAAACTATTTTCTTCTTCCGCTGCTCAGTTTTAGGTGTTTCCTGAACAATTTTTTTTTTCCGAGTTGGTGTGTTTTCGAACTCAGTGATTCATTTATCATAATGACTAATCTATGTTTCTGCATACATCAAACAGTTTTATTTTAAACCACCATAAGGTAGATCTAAAAATAGATTTCAACAGGCCGAAGCAAACTGTGCTGGCGAGTATTACAATGAAAATACTCAATGCAATTAAACTGATATTTTTTTTAAGGGCTCAAGCTCCAAAATCTAAGTTTAAAAAAAAAAACGGAATTTTATTTGCTATATGGTGTGTGTTCTATCTTTTGAGCCCAGCATTTTGATTATTTATTTGTAAAATTATTGCGTTTGTTTTTTAGGTTAGCTACTATGTTAAGACAATTAGCCCAGTACCACGCCAAAAACACTGGTCACCTATTCATGGTACGAATTGCGCAAGGTCTTACACATTTAGGAAAAGGAACGCTATCTCTCTGTCCATACCACACAGATAGGCAGATCATGAACCCTGTAGCCGTAGCTGGATTATTAATCACATTGTTTAGTTTTCTGGATACGAAAAATAGTAAGTACTTCTGAAACGTTTTCATATTTTGTGGTTTGCATTCGGTTTCTCCGAGGATTTTCTAGGTTAAAGTGTATGAGTTATAAGTAATTCTCACGTCCATGGAATATCAAATTTGAACCAAACTGGTTCAGAGAAATTAAAAATGTCGAACAAAGTTTTTACTAAAGCAATGGTTTTTCATTTCATTGATTCTTGCCGTTTTCCATCAGAATAGAATGACTTGGCTATGTCGTACAAACCTTCGTTTTTAAGTAGTTTTCAAAATTATTCTTATATATTCAATAAATGATGATACTTAATATTTTATCATCTTTCGGGGCTGAGCTTCCTGATGCAATTTTTTGGTCTGATACTAATTGAATAAAATAACAATTGCAGAAAGAAAAATATTATTGATCCACCAGCTGAAATTTCTACATTGAATGAATGATGATACTAAATATTTTACCATCTTTCGGGACTGAGCTTCCTGATGTCATAATTTTATCTGATTCTGTTCAAAGAATATCAAATGCCGACCAAATTAAACACATAAATTCCACCATCTTATTTCCTAGTTTTGTTAAATGATGATACTAAATTTTTTACCATCTTTCGGGGCTGAGCTGCCTGATGCCACTCCTTTGTCTGATAACATTACTTCACATTACCGAAAAGAATTGAATGCAATGGAAAGAAAGAAAAAAAACAGACTCACCAGCTGCAAATAATATTTTTAATAAATGATGATACTAAATATTTTACCATCTTTCGGGACTGAGCTTCCTGATGTCATCTTTTTATCTGATCCCGTTCAAAGAACATCAAATATCGACCAAATCAAACATGTGAATTCACCAGCATTATTTCCGTTTTAATTTAATGATGATACTAAATATTTTACCATCTTTCGGGACTGAGCTTCCTGATGCCACACTTTTATCTGATAACATTACAGAAAATTATTGAATGTAATTAAAAGAAAGGAAGGAAGGAAGAAAGAAAGAAAAAACAGATTCACTATCTGAAAAAATTATTTTTAGTGAATGATGATACTAAAAATTTTACCATCTTTCGGGACTGAGCTTCCTGATGCCACACCTTTATCTGATAACATTACAGAAAAGTATTGAATGTACTCAAATGAAAAAAAGGAAAGAAGAAAAAAAATAACAGATTCAACAGCTGACAGCACTATTTTTATTTTTTAATGAATGATGATACTAAATATTTTACCATCTTTCGGGGCTGAGCTGCCTGATGCCACTCCTTTGTCTGATAACATTACTTCACATTACCGAAAAGAATTGAATGCAATGGAAAGAAAGAAAAAAAACAGACTCACCAGCTGCAAATAATATTTTTAATAAATGATGATACTAAATATTTTACCATCTTTCGGGACTGAGCTTCCTGATGTCGTCTTTTTATCTGATCCCGTTCAAAGAACATCAAATGTTGACCAAATTAAACATGTGAATTCACCAGCATTATTTCTGTTTTCATTGAACGATGACACTGAATTTTTTACCATCTTTCGAGTCGAAGCCTCATGATGCCATTTGTTCGTCTAATTTAATTCCAAAACCTTTAAATGACAACCAAATGAAACCTGTAAATTCATATCAACATGATTTTTATCCTTGTTAAATGATGATACTAAATATGTTGTTGTTTCCTCGGATTCCTGATGATCCTCCTTTATCAGATATCATGTCTTTAAAACATCGGTTGTCAATCATATGAAATGGACAAAATTAATCACATTTTTTTGTGCATTAATGGTGGCAAATAATAAGTCGTCAATTTCAAGGACTGAGTTTCCAGAAGTCATTCGTTATCTGTAAACATACTGGAGTAAATCAGTGTCAAACAATGACATATTTTTCTTGTTGAACTATGATGATACTATATTTTTTACCATCTTTCGGGGCTGAGCTTCCTGATGCTAATCTATTATCTGACAACAAGCTATAAATTGAGATGCTCTTTTGAAATAGAAATTTAATGATTGACAAATCTCTTTTTCATGATTCCCTAATTATTTGAATCGTTTTACCTTTGGTGAGTTCCGAAATTCTGGTGACAATAATTGTGCGATCAATTGTTCACAACGAATAAGCACAACCACCTTTTCTCCGTAGACAATGATGATACTAAATATTTTACCATCTTTCGGGACTGAGTTCCTGATGCCATCTCATTATCTGACTGTCTGTTCTTGAATGATCTAAAATTGAAAAGGATGGCTTGTTGGAAGAAGTTACAGGGGGTAAAGTAAAGAAAAAACAGGGTGTCTACAGGTCTGGCAAACAAGTAATTGTTGTGGAATTGCATCAGATCAGAGAAAAGTAGGGGAATTTTATGTAAAAGACTGGGAATTTTATGAAACTTGCAACTTGAATACTGAAAAGACTGAAGTACTATCTCCACAAACGAACTGAAACTCACAAGGGGAACTTCCCAAGCTGCCGCCTCCGATCGGGCTGAAAAAATTCGTACGAACTCTTTGTATGAATTTATTTGACCCGTATTTTTTTGTTTTTTCCAATGCCCCCCAGAAACACCCCAAAAAAATTCCGGAAAGTTTTGCTTTGAGCGCTTGAGTCTATATACGCAGTATAGCAGCCCCCATTTTCCGTCAAGTGGTGGCTCTGCGGTAACGCGCTCGCCCAGTGATCCGGCGTGCCCGGGTTCGATTCCCGGGTGCCGCGCCAAATTTTTACGACCGAATTTTATATTCTCACACATTTTCACATCGATTCCCATTTGATACATTAGAACTTAAAACATCAATTAATTTACAACCATCAACGATCAATAACTTCTTCAATTTGAAGTGTAGATTTTTTTTTTGGGAGGGAGGAGGGGTCACGCGCGCGATATTCTCGCCAATCACTGTACTTTCACATTAGCAGACGACCCGCTCCGCCCCCTCACATCGACATATTTCTCCCGATCACCCGTATGCGTCATGATTTTTCCCAGCATTATCCAGAAAATGATAATGAAAAATTACTTCGAACATTCAAATTAAAAATGCTACAATTTTTCATTATCATTTTCTGGATAATGTTGGGAAAAATCATGACTCATACGGGTGATCGGGAGAAATATGTCGATGTGAGGGGGCGGAGTGGGTCGTCTGCTAATGTGAAAGTACAGTGATTGGCGAGAATATCGCGCGCGTGACCCCTCCTCCCTCCCAAAAAAAAAATCTACACTTCAAATTGAAGAAGTTATTGATCGTTGATGGTTGTAAATTAATTGATGTTTTAAGTTCTAATGTATCAAATGGGAATCGATGTGAAAATGTGTGAGAATATAAAATTCGGTCGTAAAAATTTGGCGCGGCACCCGGGAATCGAACCCGGGCACGCCGGATCACTGGGCGACCGCGCTACCGCAGAGCCACCACTTGACGGAAAGTGAGTGCTGCTATACTGCGTATATAGACTCAAGCGCTCAAAGCAAAACTTTCCGGAATTTTTTTGGGGTGTTTCTGGGGGGCATTGGAAAAAACAAAAAAATACGGGTCAAATAAATTCATCCAAAGAGTTCGTACGAATTTTTTCAGCCCGATCGGAGGCGGCAGCTTGGGAAGTTCCCCTTGTCAGTCTAGTTCAAGGTTCAATGCCCTGAGATGCACTCTGAATAATGAATAAAGGAATAATTGTCAATGATGCATTTAAATTTAAATTAATTGTATAATGAAGGCCTGAAGAAAAGGGGTTCACATGTTTCTGTCATTTGTAGTGAAATTATCGCCAAAAATTTCTCATTTTCACTTTAATGCGCACATCTTGTGGATGTGAAAAGTCAGAGAATTTTGGTAATTTTGTCAGGGAAAATCTGGAAAAATTAGGAAATTTTTGCCCGCTAAGCCTGTTACATAACACCCTGAAAAAATCATTAAAGATCGCGATTAATTAAAATAAATGTGAGCTGTCTGTACCATAGTGAATATCTCTGCTAATTTACAACATTGTATCTGTTTCAGTTATTCTAGGAAAGTCTCATTACTTACTGTACACTTTAGCAACTGCCATGTATCCTAGATGGCTTGTAACTCTCGATGAAGACTTAGAGCAACTTCCAGTTTCTGTCCGAGTAGGCCAGGTAATGATCTATTTAATACTTTAAGCAAGGTTGCCTCAGTCAGGAAATACCAGGGAAAATGACAACAGTGTCAGGAAAAAACTGTCAAGTCACCTTTAGTTCCTATATATTTGTAGAATGGGTGACGACGTTTCGAACAATTTTTTGCATGAAAACTGTTTTAAATTATGTCTTTTTAACCGTCAGGCATATCTTTTCTTGTCAGAGAATTTTATCAAAATGTAACAGGGAAATCACTAATCAGGAAAATTCCAGGAAATTTTATTTTTTAAATTCTGCAGCAACCCTGCTGATGCGCCTTTTTTTTCAATTTGCCAACATCTATTAATAGAGTCAATCATTTGAATTTTTCATTGATATTACTTTAAGTAGGTACCTAGTAGAAAATTTTAAGTTTGTAAAGAAATGCTTTTGTGCGTACTTCATATGTGTATCTTAATACGAATCCCTCAAGGTGCTTTATAGAATTCTGCCGCAAACTTCTCCTTTGGTTTTCTTTTCTCTTTCATTTTTTGAATTAACGGTGAATTCTTTTTTGCATGATTTAGGCTGTGGATGTCATTGGAAAAGCTGGAACACCCAAAACAATTGCCGGTGTGCACACTCACACAACACCCGTTTTGCTTGCTGTTGGCGAGAGGGCTGAGCTGGCCACAGACGAATACATACCTCTTACACCTGTCATGGAAGGTTTTGTCATTTTGAAGAAAAAACCACAAGATGCCGAGTAATCAGTTTCAACTGTAGAGACCGAACATTAAACCAAACTGCTTCAACTCCATCCATCATTTTCTTGCAATTTAAATAACCAAGTTGTCGAGAGGTAGCTGCAATGTGGAATTTTATTTATGGATCAGAAAATGGAAGAAAAAATTTTCTGTGATTTAGACTCTCCTCAAAGTCTGGTTTTAATTCGAAAGCAGATTTGTTTTGTAATTATTTTGCAAATTGTATGTAAATTAACGAAGAATATAAATCTATGTTATTGTTCAACAGAGCTTAACTGGCTTTGACCTCATAGGATTTTCGGGATCCTGTGTTTTGGGATTACGACAATTGTATCTCAACGCGCACTTTCTTCTTGGCTCGAAGATGTGCGTAGAATGTTTTAATGCATTTTCTAACTGTACTAACTATTTTTTTATATTTTGCCCTTTAGGATTAATCAGTTTTTTTAGAAAAAGATTATGAAATAAAAAAAAAAAAAAAAATTAGTTATTACTTTGTAGATTTATTGCGTGATATGTTTTCATATTTTTTTTTTCCGTTTGTAAATATATATCTTCAAAAAGATGCCACACCTTCTCTTCCTGGTCCTCCTAGACTCAGTTAATAACTTTCAATCGCTGCTTCAAAATCTGATGTGCAATTATGTAAATGTCAGCCGTGATGTTTTTCAAGCTCCCCCCTTCATTTCAAAGCAAGGCTCCTCAAAATCATTACCAACATCTCCTTTTGAAATCGATTTAAAAAAGGAATTACTGATAAAGTACACAATGATTTCTTTTAAATCAAAGTCTTACAGACTAAATTTTTTCCCCTCTATATCTGTCAGTTCAGTTTACAAAATCTTGCCAATAAATATGTTCGAAATGAGCAGTATGAGATTCAAGTCAAGGAATATGAAATAGTAGTCAAAGGTTAGGTATGAACTACTATTCCAGGAAGATAATAGGTCCTTATTTCACTCGGTTTGAAATTCAAAAAACGCTTTTGACTATTCAATATCTAATTCAAAAGATGATTTTGAATCTTTGTATAGAGAAGGAGCTTTTTCGTGTTTTAGTTTGAGGTAATAATATGTTATTAATTACTGTTCCGCCAAACCTATCAGAATCAACCCCTCCATGTAAAAATATAGTTCTCAATTTTTACTTTTTCACTGCATAGTCCGCTTTTCGGAAAGTGAATCACTTGCAAAGTGATCCAAAGGTCGTGCAACACCAGAACCAGACATCACCCTTGTAACTTTTTAAGATATTGCGTTATAGACTTTAATTTGTGAAGGGCAAAGGAAACGACTTTTGGAAACCTGCTCTTAATTATTAAAGGGACCATCCTGAAAAGAGGTGAGGGACTGTTGAATCACCCTGCAGAAGTCTTTAAAAAATTGAGGAATATATCGTCACTTTCTGGTCAAAGTATCACAAGCGCCATGGGACGATTCAAAATTTCCGCCGCCATTTTATTTTTTTACAGAGAAATTGTTGGTTGAATCTGTTGATTGTTGAATTGAAAATTTCATTGAATATCAGCAGCACAAAGAGAATTCAGGAAAATCTTCTGACAGCTTCGTTGAACAATTTCTGTGTAAAAAATAAAATGGCGGCAGAAATTTTTAAACGTCGTATGGCACTTGTGATACTTTGGCCAGAAGGTGACGATATAAGATCAATCACCTATTCAAGTTTATCCATCTGAAAGTATTTTCTGTGAAAAATATGAGCATCTAAATCCTGAATTTTCTTTTTTGTTGGTATCTAGTAGTGTTTTTCAAAGTTTTTTGCCTCAAGAAAGTCTCCCGTTATATTTTCCAAGTTCGGAGCAGCTGTCTTTTTCAGTGGACGAGATGATGTTATGCTGAGCATATACTTCGAAGTGTGCAAAAAACTAGTGTTTCCGCCCGGGATCGAACCGGGGACCTTCCGCGTGTTAGGCGGATGTGATAACCACTACACCACGGAAACGCAGTTGATGACGGGCGTCAAAAAAATGAAAAATAAAAGTGTAGTTTCTCATGTAACAATTTTATTAAAAAAAAATTAGTCAGTAATTTTGCAATATTCCGCAAGATGCTCCTAAATTTTTTCTCCAAATTTTCTAAGTGATGTCAAAGTTCTCTTACTTTCGAGATGAAGAACGAGCACGAAACTTGTAGATGTCATTGGACAGTCATACTCCCCTTCCCCCTCCCAGCCATCCTCCGACCGCTGCCCTCGACGAATCGAGAGGACGGATGTCTGCGTATTCAACCACTAGAGAGCGGCACATTAAGAAGCGCGAAAAACTCCAGAATTCAAATTTGCGGGTCTGCAACCAGCCGCGCGTCACTTATCAATGCCGCAACAATCGGAATGACTATGCTTTCGATAGTATTTCCTCCATTCCTCAATTTTTTTTCTCATAAACTATCCTCAAATGAAATAAGCTTAAGAGGTTTTACGAGTTAATTTGAATCACAAATCTCTTTTCCTTTTTTTTTTGAGAAATACAGAGGATTGCAGGAAACTTAAAAATCGCAAGTTTCCACCCTAATTTGACCAGAAAATACAGACAGAATGCATGTTTGAAGACATACTTTTTTGCATCAGTTATATTTCCTGCAATTATTTTTATGTTCCTCGTCTCAGAAATTAATGTTTAATACCCCAAAATATAGTGGCATCGAAATTATTTTCGCGGGATGGAACACAGAATTTCGCTTCAAAGAGAGATCATTTTCCTTACCAAATGATTTGATTAAAATGCAATCACAGCACTCCATGCCTCCTTTTAGAATGTGCGGTAAAAAATAATAAGTAATGATTGTAAAATAAATATAATGTAATGTATTTTTTTTATTATGTATACAGTGCAGAAAATACATCGATGTCTAAACTGCGAAACCGGTTTCGGTACGAAGATAACGCATCTCCGTTTGCGACGATGCAGACTTCCGGTCATACTTAATTTTTCTTCGGAAAACACTAGTCAATTTAGTTTCTTGAGCCCGTATCAAACGATCAAAGTAGATGCTTCAAAGGGGTTCATCTATGCCTTTCTTGGCCCTCTCATTGGCCAGCGGTTTAAGTCGGCAGGGCCGAATTTAGGGGGTGGCCATACGGGCCGCGGCCCATGGCGGCAAATTTTGCACTTTTTTTAAATGAAGGTACCTATAAAAAAATCGGATTCCGAAAAAAAATTACAAACGAGAAAAGGCGACAAAATCTCTTATTTCCTGAAAGTATAGTAATTTATAATTGTGTCGTGTTTCGGTGATAAGAGACAGCACCTTCAATAAATCGAGTTAAGAGAGAAACCAAACCCCGTAATTTGGCCTGGAGCAGCGCGGCGCAGAGAGCAATGATGACGAGGACTTGAGATGAAAAGGAGAAGCCCTCGGCGCGGCGGTCGCATGTAAAACATATTAGCGCCTACAGGACTGCATGGATACTTCACGCATTGCGTCAAACACAGTGCGGTCAGCAGCGGTCGACGTGACATGCATAGCGCCTACAAGACTACATGAATACTTCACACAGTGCGGTCAGCAGCGGTCGACGTGACATGCATAGCGCCTACAAGACTACATGAATACTTCACGCATTGCGTCAAACACAGTGCGGTCAGCTCGGCGCGGCGCGGCGCGGCGGCGGAAGTTAAAATTATTAAACCACATTTATGTTTGTTCTTCCATGATTTTTCTGTTAATTTCTCATATATGGAAGGCCTTGTCCACACAGTGGTCGGTTTACGGAACTTAACTTTCGCGACGAGTTCCGTGAACTTTTGCTAGTAGTGTTGACAGGGCTTTCGCAAAAAATGTGTCCAACACGAGTAAACGCGTCTTATGCACATCTCCCCCTCCGGCACGTTCACTTGATGGTTTTCATTGATGTTTCAAAACGAATGAGAGGGGGGCGGCAAAATACAGGCGGCCCATGAGCGGCAAGTACCTAAATCCAGGCCTGTAAGTCCGGGCAATCAATGAGTCTCTTTGAAGCCTCAACTTTGATCGTCTGATACGGGCTTTGAGAACTTCAATAATTTTTTTTTCCTTTTCAAGAATATTCCGTAGAAATTTTAAATTGTATAATTGATTTGTTTCTCTTCGAAAAATTAAATAGGAGCAAACATTTTGAAACACCGCCACGGAGATATACGTGGTTGTGGTTCCGCATTTCAGCCATCGATATGTTGCGTTGCCACGTTTACTGACGAAATGATTTCTGGGCGTGCATTCTTTCGCGCATCATGTCTTTAACAAAAAATTGTCTACAAAATGAAAATGTTCTCTTTTGAAGAGAGGAAAAAACAAACGACCGTGGGTTAAACAAAAATGAAATTTCTGTTTTTTTTTTGTTTTTTTTTTGTTTTTTTTTGTTTTTTTTTTTGCAAAATCAATTGCGCAAATAAACCTACATAATTTCCCCAAAATTGTAGAGCCTCCCTGTCTCCCGTTTGCCCGCAGGTGATAAAAGTTATCAGTGCGCCCCAATCGGAAATTTGACCTTGGTACAAGCTTAGTATGACATTTTTTCACATTTGAATAGAGTTGCCAAGCTTATCTTGCTAATGTTCCCACAATGTTAGCAGGACATTTATTTTACCTCTGGGACAAGCTTGAGCCCAAAGATTGTGCCAAGGTTAGGTTTGTAAGACTGCTCCAAGCCTATCCTGACAATATTGCCACAATATTGGTGGGACATTATTTTACTTCCGAGTCAAACTTGGATATTCAATATTGTGACAACGTTATGTTAATAATATTGCTCCAAGCTTGTTCAGCGGATATTGTGATCATGATGTTGCCATATACTTGATGTTAAAATATTGCCATAGTATTGGCAGGATCTTTATTTTACCTCTGATACAAGCTTGGATTTCCAATCTTGCCTCTGAGGCAAGGTAGGCGATAGAACGCCGCCGTATTACCTGCCGTCCTCGCGGAGGAAATTTCATAGCGTCGCAATGCCTAATGTAGGCATACGGAACATCGGAGTGCCGAGGAACCTTTCCTAAGTCAGCTACTTTCTTGGCTGCTTGCACTGGCTGAAGTATTCAACTTGGATCCCATTTGTAACGGGCACTGCCCAGGCGAAACGAGAACCAGCCCCATTGACGGGGCGGCCATGCGCGGACCGTTGCCAAAAAGCTCCATTTGAGCCCTTGGCCTAAGAATATCGGTAAGATGGGTTAGACGCCTATGGATCATGTGCCTATTACGTCAAAAAGCGAAAGGTCGCAGTTTTTGCCCTTTAATTTGCCCTTAAAGGGACCGCAACGGCAGATCCGCGGCGAGCGCGCCCTGGTGGCGGAAATAGCAAACGCGGTCGAATTGTGCTCGCCGCACACAATATTGTGTTAATCTTATGACAATATTAGAAACAGAAGCCTAAAATGTTTATTTTCTTAATCTTGTGACAATGTTAAAGTGCGAATATTACCACAATGTTGTAAAAATAATGTTAGCATAATATCAATTCAGCAGTTTTAGATATCCAATATTGTGTCAATATTATGACAATATTACGAACAGAAGCGTGTTATGTTTGTTGTTCTGACGTTAATTGAATGTTAACATAATAACAATACCGCAGTATCACAGAGATAACATCGTCTCGATATTATTTTAACAATTTTGTTTTCCTAATATTGTGTCAATATTGTGTCAATATTATAAGCAGAAGCCTATGTTCAGTATTTTTTTAATAATGTGCCAATGTTAAAACTAACATATTACTGCAATATTGAAAACATAACTCTACGACAGTATTAGTTTACCAATATTGTATAACCAATATTGTGACAACATTGTGACAATCTTGGAATCACCGAGCACCACCTGACCTTGGATTTCTAATGTTGCTAATATTGGTGCAATATTAAAATACTAAGGTTATATATCCAGTATTGATGGTATATTGTACCAAGATTCTCAGGCCAACCTTACTGTTGAAATATGCTCACAATCTCGCTAAGGTTGCCACAATATTATTCCGATCTGCCCAGGGTCAAATTTCCGATTGGGGCACTGCAGTCGCATCGCAAACATCAAGTGTTTCGGATTTTTATTGTTCGGCGGTCGCTATAAATGACTTATCGCCTCTTATCAGCGACGTAGTAGGTTATCACGGTTCAGTCCTTCGAACAAATATCTCAAGAGGTGACCGGTGGCGTTTGTCCTGCCCCGCCTTTCAAAATAGCTAACCACGTTGTGCAAGTCGCGTCAGTTCCGTCCTTTTAAGCCCTCGCGAAGCTTCGTCGGCAGTTTCTCGCCTTTTTTTCTCTCGTTTTTCGATTTTCAGAGGGAAAAAAGGCCGCCCGCGGAAAAAGGAGACAGTGCATAATCGCTAATTAGTGTTTCGTCTCGTGAGCGTGAATATCCCCTCTAGTCAGTATGAAGGCGGTTGATCGCAGGAATACCCCAAACTACATGGTTCGTGTCATTTCATTTTTATTGCTGTGGACTTTTTTACGTGCTTTTTTTGTTTTTCGGCGACACTGCATCTGCGTGTTTTTCGTCTCACTTTTTTTTTTTTTTGTTACCTACATCGTCACCTTCAGCCAAATCATCATAAGCGCCGCACAGTGGATCGTGTCAATTAGAGAGGTCGGACATGAAATATTTGACTGAAACTGCAAATTTTGATGTTTATTTCGTCACATTTTCAATTTCAAGGTGTGTTATTATAAGACAATTTTACGTAGAGACCAATGAAACCACTTTTAGAACCTCAAATTTTTGTATAAACGGAGTTATAAGCGTTAAAGTTTCCAAATTTTGTCCGACCTCTTTCATTGACTCGATCCACCGTGCGCCGTGCGTCGTTTCAAAATTTCTGCCGCCATTTAATTTCTTTACAGAGAAATTGTTGGTTAAATCTCTATGAAAATTTTACTAAATATTATCGGCAGCATAAAGAAAATGTATCAAAATTTTTGGACAGCTTTCGTTGAACAATTTCCCTGTAAGAAAATAAAATGGCCGCGGAAATTTTGAAACGTCGCATGACGCTTGTGACACTTTGGCCGGGAGGTGACGACATATCGAGGGTGACTACCAAACCTCGTATCTCGATTTGCGACGTTGCAGACTTCCTGTTATAAATACTCAATGTTTCAAATGAAAAACCATTCAACGTCAATTAAGCGGCTTCAACGGCAAGACGAATAAGTGCAGTTTTTGAAAAATTTGAGATATTAAGTAATGATTTCGAGTAAAACAAGTCTTCATGCATATTCTGTGAAAAATTCGCTCCCAAATTTCAAATTTTAAACATCAAAAAGTCAGTTTGAACTTTCTTTCCGCCATAAGGAGCCATGTAATTTCGGAACTTCAAACACGGATTTCTCGAAATAGCAAAAACCGCACTAATGCGCCTTTTCATCCAAGCCCCTCAAATCTTTAAATTTTCCGTCATTTCTTTCTCTATTTGCGAAGAAAATTCTGTGTAAATTTGGAGGGATGAAGTTGGCTTGTTCCTCAAAAAAGTAGAATGAGAGCGTAGATTTTGCAACACCGCAAACGAGGTTTGAGAGTTTCGCCGTCAATATCCATTATAGCGGATCCAGCAAATTGGCAACATTGTTTTTTCCCATTTAAACCTATGGAAATGTATCGATTCTTGTAGGGGTCAGGTGCTCCGACAAGAATCGATCATTTAACTTAGGTTTAAATGGAGGAAATCCGGCGTTGCCAAACTGCAAGATCCGCCTCTGTCGATATCTGCTTTTATACCCCCACTCAAGTCTAGAGAAAAATTTTAGGGGGCATAGATCCTTGCAAGGTGACCTTTAAATTCCCCATCATAACAGGCAGGTATATGTGCACCACCAAATTTGTGCTCCCTCTTTTTTCATTATTTCCTTATCAGCTTTTGAAACGATGCATTTTTACCTTCCATGGAACGGACCTGGAAACACGCGATCGCTGAATCGAACATTAGGTTCAATGTTTGATACCTAGTACTGTTCTTGCATGTAATGAAGCCTCCATCAAATTACCTTTAGTTATTATGAACACGTATTTACCGACGCTTCTCCTACTCTTTAGCCCCCCAGGCCGTCAAAATGTCACAAGAGCACTGCAGTTCGGGAAAAATATTGAAGTAAAGATAAAATTGAACGCTTTGTGAAAAAAAAGAAAAAAAAGAAAGAAAAAAACACACCTTAAAATACAATATTTTTATTGATTGAGCAATAAATGCCAATTTTAAACGATTAAGGAACTGAGTTCTATGTAGTTATCAGAAGGATGGGCAATTTTCGATGCAAAAATAAATCGCAAATCTTTTAAAATTTATCCCGATAAACATTAATCGTAAGAGGAGCCCCTTCAGTTCGTAAATAGGCAACATATCCTACACTCTGGTGCGGCAGCGATAATTTTACCATGAAATTGCAATCTGACAAGTAGGTGTCTGTACGGCAGCAAAGATTGTGCTTGGTTTTCCTCATAATGGCGGTTTATGGATCCTTTAGTCTAGTGTGACCTCCGTTAATTTTACACCCACATGCGCCTCTCAATGATAGCTTTTACACGGCTATATTTTCCTATTATTATGAGGAATAAATGCGAGATTGAAGCTGACAGCCGCTCCATCCCAAGTTTTAAAACGAGTTTTAGTCAGAGATTCTTGAAAACCAAAAGTGAGTGTTCTCCTAATGGTCTCTGGGAAGTTACCTTCCGAATTCAGTGTCTGGTAGACATTTATCGTGATGAAGTCGTGAGCCCATAATCACAATTTAACAGTTTCTCGACTTTATGATTCAGAGTCATCTGATTTACTCGCTCCAACATCCTAGTGACCTTACCAGCATTTCTCTGATGAACATTTTCCGGATTTTCACTCTTTAAAGAAGGAACATTTCATAGATTATAGACGACACACGATGAATAAAACTTATTAGTTATTTCCTGACTTGACAAATGTCGATCTTGCAAATTGTGTGCGAATAAAATGAAGGCGCACAATGTTTACATTCTTTGAGCACACAGCCAGCAGTACTGATTATTGATCATCCGTCCTCCGCTAAATTACGTTACAGCTCCTCCGTTTTTCCGAAAAAAGCTCTTTTTTCGAACAAAAATAAGTAAACATTTTCCGGAAACAATTCAAGTTTCTCGGGAGCTAACGTTTTGTTAGCGGTTCGGCGCATGCCGCGCATCAAAACTTGGATCGTACAGAAATGTCGCCTCGGTGCGCCTTCATTTTTGGAGTGTAGGCACTACGGACATCCATCAAGCACGAATAGTCGCATCCAAGCGCCGTGATCAATATCGCACACCGATTAGATGCATTCATATCAATCGGAATTAGCTTAGCAATATCAGACGTTGCCGATTTTTTTCTCGTATGTTTTATTTTTGTGATAGAAAACGAAGCAATATTCTGACTTTAAATTTGTGAGTTTTTTTTTTTTTTACAACTCAGAGAAAATCCACAAGTTTCAAGGAGACGTGATACGTAGTTTTATATCGAAAAATAGAACATGAGCAGGAACCAGGTAACGTGAAATCGCTCAATTCAAACTTAATTACTTATTACCTAATTTTGCCCATTCAAAACTTCGTAGCTCTCAGTGCCCTCTTTTACCATTTCATTGAGAAAACGAAACGACACTTCCATGCATCAGTAAATACTTACTTAAACCATATGCTGCGTACGCGAGTTCTGCGACGTTGCAGCTTCTTTGAAAAATGTTTAAAGTTAGTTTAGATGTTTTACCCATTTGCTACATTTTTATCTTAATCTAAAAGTTAATTTAATTTCCTACTCGTTTATTTCCTCGAAAGATGACCGATCAATGTTATTATCTACCCCAGACTTGGAGCACCTTTTGCTCTACCATCCAAATATATGCTTTTAAAATTTTACGAGGAAATTTTGGGTAGTTCTATTGAAAATAGGAATTATAAGCAAAAATATTCTGAATCACCCATGATCCTGACCAATTTCGAGGTGATGGACTGTGGGAGAGGTGAGGGGGGGGGGCACTTTTGCGCCATCCCCCCCCCCCTTTCACAACAAGCCCCCGCATGAAAAAAAAATGATAGTATCCTCACAGTTGTAAAAGTCTCTTAATTTATAATTTAATCAAAACCTGAAGTATAGGAGTAATAGGTATCTACATTTCAGGAAGACGGTGAGAATAGACACAGTTTTTAGCGGCCTTTTCCGATTGACGTTACTGACCCCATCCCACCAGTGACCCAAATGACCTCTTGACATTCTATCAACTATTAATTAAGAATGATGTATATTTTATGCACTCCGACCACTTTGCATAATCACAACAGCCTTCTGACAGAAGTTGCCATGTTGTATTAAATAAAGTTTGCAAGTACCTGCTGGAATTTATCAATCCTAGGAAAATCATCTGGAACGTTTTACTTACCGCGTTTTTTCCTTTTAAAAAAAAAGAATAGAAAAATTAACTTTTCAAGTGTAATCGAACGGTCCTATTCTTGAACTAAAACATTAGGAGTAATGTGTTCCTAAATGCGCTTAAAAGTTACTTAATAAATTTATTTATTATTTACTTAATTAGAATTGTGCATGTTTACTCGAAATTTTGATTACTTATATCGCGCGCATTTGTAATGGTTCGTTAATTTTACCCTAATTTGGCAGGGCACAAAAATTTTGTTTTTTCGAATCAGCCCATCAAAAAAGATCGAAACATAGTGACGTCGCAAATCAGAACACGTGTTTTTAAATTTTCTGCAAAAATTCAAATTGCGCGCTTTACAATCTGGGTATCTGCTTTTGCCAACGCCATTGGTCGAAGGCCATCTCCTGTCTCCTATCAGCAGCCCCCTCCTACCGTGTGACCTTGACGTCCTTGGCTCGCATTGGGCCATCCTGATGTCTCCGTCTACAAGATAGTTGTCTGTGGTCTGGACAACTTTCGAAAGTCAAAACTTTTCAAGTTCGAATTCGGAGTGTTGTCATCAATTGTGCCGGCTAGTGAAGTACTCGATTTGTTTTAATCGATTTTATTTATTATCTGTAATCCTCGCAATAATCTTTGTTTAACCGTACAGTTAACAAGAGTACTCAAGGTATCAGAAGCATTCCAATTTTTCTTATTTTTATTTCAATTTTGCGATATTAACCTCACACCTGACTTTGACTTGACCTTCATACGATTATCATTATTTTATCTTAATTTGTTATTTTCATTCTTGACTACTTATCTACTTCTACCAAGCATTCATTCACATGATGAGTGGTCAAGCTAACTGCATAGGTGCTTTGAAGCTGCTCAGATTTCAATGATTTTGGCAGCGAGTAGGTATCCTCTCGTTATTATTGCGGACATGAAGCACCGTTCCCATGCTTGTGTTGCATTGAATTTTCAGAACCATTAGCTTACTTAAGAGCTCTCTGTATCACTGACTTCAATGCCATTGAATGCTTTCAACTACTCTGCAGCACATAAGTTTTAGCGCCGGAATGTTTAGGTTGGTGTTGTACATGCATGACAATGTGCATTGAGTGCCACTGTACAAAGACTCTTCTGCCTTGCAAATTTTTCTAAAACTGCACAAGTCTGTCTTAATTTTCGATCAAACTAGCACAACCCTAAAATTCTATTTTCTCCCGTCATTTTTTGAACTTTCTCAAGAATAATGTTGGACGTCTGGAACCTTTTTGATCTGCTGTAAGTAGTATACGAAATTGCATAATCCCAGAAGTGAGGTGTACTTCAGACCTCTTCTCCTGAAACTCTTGAAATTTGTCTTCAATCAGTTTCTTATTGTTATTGCACTTTTTGTTAGAAGTAAGAAGTCTCTCTTGACAGTTGCAGACCTGGAAAAAAAAGATGAAATCATAATATTTAGTCAAGCTATTTTTTTAGAATGTCACTAATACTAAGTAAGTGCTGTTTCAGAAAATGATTGTGGATTTTATTCTGTGAATAATTTTAGCACTTTTAGCTCACAAAATTTTGATGACCAAACGAGGGAACTGCATTTTGTTAATTTATAATTTTGCAGGCTCCCTAAGTAGCTTGTTTTACTTTTAAGTCGGTAAATTATGACAATAATTGAATGCAAAAAATTTGGGGGTTTTCTTTGTATCTTCAGAAATTTGAAGCCATTGTCCAACAATTTCTCTTTCAAAATAAAACCAATTTTGAGCACAAATTTTACAATGTAAAATACATGTTTTCTAGTTTTTCCATCAGATTTTAGAAGTCCATGACAAGTCGTAAAAATTATTTCTTGCTTCCTCTTGCTTGGTCTCATCAAAATCATGTGTCAAAGTTCTAGTTCTTTCTGAAAAAAATTGTCTTTTGACTGACCTGTATATTTAACAATCAAGTCTCTGAAACACGCATACTTCAGCAACTTTTTTGCCAGGAATTAGCGTTGGTAACTGCTTTATATCTATGAATGGAAGTTAATTCATTCACAATTTTATACACTGAAGCCTTTACTGAGAAACAAGTTTATTATGAAATCAAACTCACAAGCACTTAAGCAACACTTATCCAATTTTTTTCCACCCATGACTTACCTATAGTTTAATATCTCTTCCTCTCGCAGCACTCAAATGTTTGATCCTATAATGCTGTTGTTGCTTTTTTTAATTCTCATTTGTCGAAAAAAATGATGAATGCTAATGAACAAATGATGGGCAAGTCTGAAATTTTAATTATTTTTTACGAGGAGGGCTCACAGTAAAAAATTAATTCAAATCAGCATGTGGATTTTACCAATGAAATTTTCTTTATTAAGACACAATGTCAATAATTTTAACTTCAATCAAGTAAGAATAACCACAGTAGTAGCCAAAGGAATTTTTTCAAACCACTTTTACACATTGATGTTCTCAACAGAAGAGCTATTTTGAGAGAAAGAAACGAACAAAGTGAGAGGAATAGGAGTTTAAACCCCAGAACTATTTCTGGCAATCAATTTTGGTTTTGATGGCTTGCCAATTTCCTGCCAACAGGCTCCCCTCCCCCTCCTCCTCACTCACATCAGGAAGACGTAAGCTGAGATTGTTTTTGAATGATCCCCAAACATGCCTTTAAGTGTGTAAAGGTCATATTTTGTAGCTCTTTTCGTTTTAAAACTTCCCCTTTTTCCACATTACTTCTTCGATTATTCTCTGCTAGCCCAAAATTAAAAATGACCTTGCCCACTATTTACGACGGTGCCGTTGACCCTCAGGTAAAATTTTCTTGTAATTCACATTGCGTGTTTACCACAGGCTTGCCCTAAGAGTTTTTCATTTGCATGAAAACCCTCGCTCCATTGATTTTTCCTCACTGAATCGGGAATAATTGTTACCTTTGTCGGGCCTTATAATGCCCCGTATTCTCTCTCTGACTTACTCATATTTTTTGTCTATTTTTTAATTCAATACCTCCTGAGTGACATTACTGCTTGCCAAATCCTCAGCTTCAGATAAAAAGGTATAGGAGGCCTTTCCTTATCTTCTCATTGTCGATTCGAATTATCTAATTTTTTACTTTTTGAATGATGATAAGCCAACAATTTAATTATGCTCGGTAGAACACTGCCATGCTTGATGAAAATCCTTCAGTACTTGTCATGAGGAACTCTCTATTACTTGTTGAGAAATTCTTTTGCTTCGCGTCTTGCAGTGTTGGGCAGTATTATGCACCACTTTTTCCCTTTACACCCTTCACTATTGTGAAAGAGTTTGGTTGAAGGTAGCCCATCATTGGAATTTACCCGCAGTTTGAAAAATTGTGTGCAGACATTCACACAACTAGAAAGTTTCAAATAATTGCGTAAATTTAATGTTTTGACGTTTCACTTTTTTCTTTTTCAGATGGCCGGGAAACCACAAAAGCACCAGCACCAGGATGCAGTTTCAAATTTGGACCATGTTAGCGCTCTTGACATTGACTCCATTCCATTCTATGTGCGGTTATCTGGAATCATTTGCACCATCGGTAAATTCGCTCACCTGTTTTTCATTTTTGAAAATTAATTTAAATAACGTCAATTCAAAACCTGCACAGAAAGTCTACAGGTCTGGAAAGTCAGTGAAGTCAGGAAAAACTGTGGAAATTTCCATGTAATGTCTAAAGTATTTTCTAAGTATGAAAATTCATTGTATTCCTCACGAAGAAATATATCTTGATTGCACTATTTCAGTATTTCCACAAGAATTTTTTCCATGGGAGAACCGTTACACAGATTTGTTCATAAATACTAGTATTTTTTCTCACAAAAGGAAGGAAGAATCACAGAAAATTTCAGACAGATTCAAGGGATGGTTTTCCTTTAAGAAGATACAATTATGGGAAGAAATACTGATAGAGTCCAATTAAGATACATTCCTTTCTGCAGGAGACGACAAACTATGCAAATTGTCCACTTTTTTCTCTTGTGGACTTTTTTATTAACAAGATTTGTGAATACTTCATTCTAGTTTGTCGGCAAAGGTGTTGCTTTTTAGCAAACCTAACCAGGAGACAGGCGCACTGTCCACGTTGGCACCTTACTTGCCCCACTTGCAATCATACTAATTTTTTAACTAAGTCAGAAATCACAAGACAATTTAAACTAGTACTAGAAAATAAGTTTCCATGATTTTCTGTGGAGCTTTGAGACATTGTAACACAATTTTTGGACCAAAAAATTACTTTTTCACAGTCCTATATTCACCTGGCTGATCAGTCATTCAACTTGCGATTTTCATCACGATTTTTTTCTTTTTTCTCTATAGGGCCAGCATCAGTTGCTCCTGAAACCTTAGTCCAGATGATCGACACTGGAATGAATGTTGCCCGTTTGAACTTCTCTCACGGTTCTCATGAGTACCATGCCACTACGATCAAAAATGTTCGTACAGCGGTGGAGATGTACAGTAAGAAAACTGGTTTCCCTGTTCCGATTGCGATTGCATTGGATACCAAAGGCCCAGAAATCAGGACTGGTCTGTTAGCAGGGGTAAGCATTCAGGCATTTGATCAGCATTTTGTAATATTTGGACAGCTTTTAGTGAAATCAGCCAAACTGCAATTCTTCTTCCTCAGTTTTCTCTTGTGTTTTATTTCTTCACCAGAAATTAAACTTTGGAAAACTTTAAGCTCTCTTTGAATTTACCACAGATGATGTCAAGAATCCTCACAAAACTTCAAATCTCAGTTCAACAATTTAATGACCTTGTATTTTTTCTATATTTTTATAAATTTCTTATCTGAGGCGTATAAAGCAACATTCAATACCACCACTCAAGATAAGAACTATCAAAACGAAGATAAGGACTAATAAAATCACCCAAGATAAGAACTATCAAGAGTCCACAGGGGGGTAAAAATCGGAAAATATCAGGAAATTTGATGTCATCAGAAAAAACCATCATAGATCAGAAAATTCCTAGTGCGCTTAGCATTTCTCAACTACATGCAGTTTAGCAAATGCAAAACGGAAACATTTGATTCAGTGTATTAAGTATGTTGGTTTGTAAAATTAAACAATTGTCAATTTTTTTTCTCCCAAAAATTCCTGTAAAAATCTTGTTAAAATACCAAGAAAATCCGATGTGAAATTTTAGTAGACACCCTGAAAAACTACCTGTGTAGATAAAATAAAGAAAAACGGAATGAAATGAAGAAATATCCACAAGAAACAAGGCTTAAAATACCATCCTAACATTATGATGTAGGTATGATATTTTAGCCTTGTTTTCCTTATGTATTTATTTGCTTTTTCTTTTTAATACTGTCACATCCAGTTAATTTTATTGTTTTTTTTTTTTTTTTTTTTTTTTTTTTTTTTTTTTTTTTTTATTTATCTAATCTTCTGAGACTTTATTATATTCTAAATAGATCTTTCCTTCTTCTGGCGGAAATACTGGGTTAGTTTTGGTTTTTTGTCTCTTATTGAGTTGATCAAGTTTTTTTCATATTAGAAGATTACGTCTAATTTAACAATGTGTTAAACTTTTTATAGGGTGGCTCTGCTGAAGTTGAGCTGAAGAGAGGGGGCAAAATAATCCTCACCACAGACCCAGCATACTCAGAAAAAGGAAGTGCTGACATCGTGTTTGTTGACTATTCAAACATAACCAAAGTTGTTAAGCAAGGAAATCGTGTTTTTGTTGACGATGGATTGATTTCTTTAATTGTTAACAAAGTTTGTAAGTATGACAGTTTATTTTAGCCAAGTAATATTTTTCGTTTTACGTACTGATTTCAAACTTCAGTGATGGGAAACATCATGAAGATTCGGAAACAAAGCAGAACTGTTACGTCAAGCTTCAGTGGAAAAGTAAACTGCTTCAGACAACATCCTTTGATCCTCAATCGAAAGGAAATGTATGCCACTGCTTATAAAAAATTGTTAAAGTGTTGTAAGTTACAATCTGCCTTACTTTGTGTTCAATATTGTCGGATCATAATAAAATTCAAAACTCTCTGTTGGCATATGATTGAGCTAAACCACTGGTTCTACATTATTTAAAATACTAGTGGTTTTTTTTTGTTTTTTTCAAACACATTTTTGAGAACTTTCACTCCGGTCCCTCGGCCCACCCTGACAAAAATTTGCCTCTTTGCACTTGGTCTCCTCTCAAATACATTAATGCATTGGGTGTCTTTTTTCATCAATGCACAATACAGCTAAAAATTTTTTTTGTTCCTGTTTTAAATCGCCTCATGACGGCTAAAGTTCTCTCTTGTCTGCAACCTTCCTTCAGTTTCTTGAAACCGCACGCGGACAAAGTTCAGTTGATGATAAGAATATGAATTTTAATTTCAGCTGCAACTGAATTGGAGTGTACGATTGAAAATGGAGGAGCTCTTGGAAGCCGGAAGGGTGTCAACTTACCAGGTGTCCCTGTTGACCTGCCAGCGGTTTCAGAAAAAGACAAATCTGACTTCGGTTTTGGAGTTGAACAAGGCGTTGACTTTATCTTCGCCAGTTTTATTAGAAATGCTGCTGCTATTCACGAAATTCGATCAATCTTAGGTAAGGTTTTTTCCCCCATTCTTTATTAATACTTATTTTGTCCTACGAAGATAAAAAAAATTAAATCAACAGCTTCAAGTTGAATTCGTTCTCTCGCTCCAAACTACCATCAAAATATATAAAAAAGTTAGTCAGTATTGTCAGTTTTGAATTCAGATTTTATCTGATATCGGCAAGAAGTGGATGATACTGCGCTGAATGGAAAAATTTTCTTACAGTCCACCAAAAAAGTGTTATTATTTTATTATTATCAGGATTTTCTTGTCATTGCCTAGAAATTGAAGTGCTAAAGTTTCACCTGCATTTCACAACTTTCTATCTGTATCGGAACGAGACAAATACCTTAGAAGAAATTGATGCCCAACATTTTTCATCATCAAAATAATTTTTTAAAAAAAGAAATATTAATTGAAACATTTTGATCAGCAGAAAAGTTTCACTGGTTCAACACTGCATATAATTGAGAGCAGTGTATTGATCGTTGTAGTAAATGGAGTGCTGATATTTCTAATGGCATCTAACGGCATTCTAATGGGCGTTAAATATGATATCTGATTTTTTTTTTATCAATATTATTTTTTTAGTCAAGATTTGCTGTACATGCGCTAATACAAATGCTACCATGAAGCATGTTTATCTTCAAATGACCATTCAATGTGTGACTACACTTGTTTATTCCATGGTTAGGTACATATCGATTCTTGTTAATTTTCTTTGACTGACTGTTCATCTCTGCAGGTGAGAAAGGTAAGAACATTCTGATCATTGCCAAAATTGAAAATCATCAGGGAGTTCAGAACTTAGACGAAATCATTGAAGCCGCTGATGGTATCATGGTTGCTCGAGGAGATCTAGGTATTGAAATTCCCCCAGAAAAGGTCTTCCTCGCACAGAAAGCAATGATTGCACGCTGTAATAAGGTAAGTTTTATTTTTATATTTTTTTACGTTCTCTAGGTTTATCTTGATCAATGCACAGTGGTATTTCTCACAAGTTAACAATATGTGTGAAACAATCAATGTTCCGAAATACCTAACTGGACCATATTTATGGCCTTTTTAATTTTGCAGTCTCAGCAACGTAGAGAAGAAAATGCTAGAAAATAGAAGAATGACTTAAATTAATTCCTGTCAAACCTTTTATGGTGAAAAGAAACGAAAATCCTGTAAATCAGAATACAAGAGGCCAGAATTAATTAAAGTAAGACCTCGCTTTATCGGAATTCGGTGGACCGGAGGCCGAAACCGTTAAATCCGCTAAATTGCACTAGTTGGTCCCGCTGAAAGGACCGGAGGATCGATCCGTTGAATCGCGGAATCCGTTAAATCGCGATCCGATAATTCAAGGTCTTACAGTAGATTTTTTTTTACTTCATTTTTCTTTACTCAAGGTTGCTAATTGTCTAAAAATTGTGATTCCTATGGAAACTGCAATAATCATTGCTGCCAAAGAAAAATAAGCTCAGGTATCCACATCAATCAATTTATAATCTTCCATGTTCTAGGCACAAAATTACCAGATTATATAACATTTTTAAGATGTTTGTGGGTACAAATCTGTGCGTAACTGCTACCAATTTATTCTTTAGAGCTCTAAAGAAAGTTACCTAACCTCTAAATCCAATTTTTTTACCCAGCTCGATAAAATGCGCTCTGCAGAAAATTTTTCTTCAATAGACAAAGATCATTTTTCCAGTGAACATTCAGGTATGCAGAAACAAACTTTATCATCAAAACTCCATTTATACCTTCATGTTTTCCTCAGGTTGGAAAGCCTGTCATTTGCGCCACTCAAATGTTAGAGTCCATGGTGAAGAAACCCCGCCCAACTCGAGCTGAAACTTCAGATGTAGCCAACGCCATTCTCGATGGTGCTGACTGTGTTATGTTATCCGGGGAAACGGCAAAGGGTGACTACCCACTCGAATGTGTTCGTACAATGGCCACCATCTGTAAAGAAGCTGAGGCTGCTGTTTGGCAAAGACAACTCTTTGTAGATCTTGTTAGTAAGGTAAGCGACAACCTTTCATAATATTTTATTTTCGAGTGAGAATAAGCCAATGAGAATGTGTAGTTTATTACTGGTATCCCTTCAACGGTAGATAAACTGAGGGCATTGATAGAGCATTCATATTTGCTATTGTTCGTGTAAATCTGAAATTCAGCAAAAGGACACGTTGCTTAATTTTCTCTATTTGATTTTTGTATCGAGAGATTTAATGGTCTCAACTTTTTTGAATCCTGGAAGTAAGAATAATTTCACCCTTAAAGGTCAACTTCTTTCATTGTTTTTGAAGGCCACTAAGCGCAAGCAACGTACAGGGTAAAAAATTCTTTAAAAGTCACGGAATTCTGTCCAACCTCGGAAAGTCATGACAGAGTTACAGAATTTTTCTTCCAAACCTTGAAAAATTGCCCAAAAAAGGACAACAATTGTATTTTCCAATTTTTACAAACTCCACTTCTGAAATTTTTTGTGAAAAGAACTTTCGTCAGTCGCCATGCAGACAAATAACATTGTATAGCAAAGAAAAAAACAGGGAATTTTAAAAACTAAGAATACTTGTCATCCTGACACAGTGAGGTCCTATCAAACCAGTTTCTGAACCTGTAAGTATATTTCTTTGTGACAAGGTGGAAGTTGAAATTATCACTGAAGATCACCATTGAGAGTTAGTAAAAATTGATGGCGAAAATGAATTTGTTGTACAGTAAATCCTCGATTTATTGGATTAATGGGATTGACAAGAGGGACCGGAAGATTAATCCATTAAGGATTTATCAATCCAATAAATGAAGGTTTAATCTACCTTCAAACCAGGAACTGACGCTCAAGTATTTTTTAAGGTGACTTATGAAGAAACTAATGTTGAATTTGGTCGACTATTTTACGGTAATGATCTAAAATGTAAGAACTCCTCGCAATTGTGAAACGTGATGAAACATCCACAATATTTTCAATCGTACGTATCGCAGGCAAATAGTAAAATCAGGCATTTTGTCAAATGCCTAGGCAAATAGTCAAATATTCTTACTTATATTGAAATTTTGATTTTTTTCCCAATTTTAGAAAAAACAATTTGTTGCTCCTGCAAGAAAGAATTCTCTGTAAGCATATGCAGCAGACAATACTATTTTAAACGATTTTTAGTTCCTCAACACACATTTATCTTAAAATTTTCAGCTTGTCATAAAACATAGAATTTTTAAAATTTCAACATTCTGAGGTTTGAGAGGCATTCATAAAGGAAGGAGCACGGAGAGTTCGTGGATTTGAAGAGTTACTTTTCCCGAAATATCAAAAACTTGTGAACTCCTTGCCATAAATTTACAAAATTCCGTAAACTGTCAAAATTTGACTACTGGCCTGGCATTTGATAAAATGCCTGATTTGACTGATTGCCTTCAACATATGCACCAGTTGAGACTGATGATAATTATCGACCACTATTTCAGACGGAACCTCCAATTGATGCAACTCACACTGTTGCGATTGCTGCCGTTGAAGCGTCAGCCAAATGTCTAGCTGCTGCAATCGTTGTCATCACAACAACTGGGCGATCAGCTCATCTTGTCTCAAAGTACCGGCCAAGGTGTCCCATCATTGCCGTCACCAGATTCCCACAAACAGCCAGACAGTGCCACGTTTTCCGTGGTATCCTACCTGTCATCTACGAAGGTATATTAATTCTGTGATATTTTTCATATCAAATTATACTCTATGGGAAAAATATGCTGTTTTATTTCAAATTTAATTATGTTATATGTGTCAGGAAAAGGAAATGTGGAATCAGTCGTCATCAGGAAAGATAGGGGTAATTACAGGGTTGTCACAGTCAGGGAAATGTCAGGGGAAAGGACGATAATGTCGAAAATGTCAGAGAAATTTTGTTAAATCTTCTGTATTTGCGCTCTAAAATGGGTTTGATGTTTCAAACTACAAATTTTGCCTGAAAATTATTTTCAATTATGTCTTCTTAACCATTTGCCATATCTGCAATTGTCAGGGAATTTCACCAAAATGTGTCCGGGGAATGTCAGGGAATTTCATTTACCAAATCCTGTGGCAACCTTGTAATTCGAACACTCTTCCCTGCCCCTTATTTTCAGGGGCTTAGCGTAGATCTTGTGCAAAATATTGGCGGTCTAGCCAAAGAATTTGTGATTTTGTTTTTCATTAAATTGTTGAAGTTTTCTTCCAGGTTCCTAAAAGAAGTATTTGCAAATAAAATTAATGTGCTCATGATAAGTTTGCAGTTAAACCTCCTCTTTCCTTGAGCTCTCATAGCAGTGGCTCTAAAGTAAAAGTGGAGTCATCAACCAAATAAGATCTATCTGCAACTCTTTGGAAGTACATTGTAACTACAGTAAGACCTCGTTTTATCAGATTTCAGGTTGAATCGTGAAATCCATTAATTCAAATTAGCCAGAAGCCCTTGAAAGGATCAGAAAATCGATTCTTTTAAGTGTGGAATCCATTAAAATTCTGATTAGTCAAATCGCGATCCAATAAATTGAGGTCTCACCTCTCACTGTGTGCTAAAGCTATATATAGCAGATTCTGAATGTTTTCGTACATCACTTAAAATCAGTTTGCACATGATTATATCTGAATGTTAATCTTGTGTAATTAAGAACTTTTTCGGTAAAGGGGCATATGAAGTTTGCAATGCTGCTAAGATTGTGCAACTTTTTACAGCATTTCCAGCAGATGAAACTCATTCAAAGTCGACTTACACCTCACAATTGTGAGGAAAACTCTTGAGTAGATTCAGGGGAAAATTCATAGGAGAACTGTTGGATAAGGTACTTACAACTGGAGAACTGCGTTGCACAATCTTAGCAGCATTACAAGGCTCATGCCTCAATTTCTAATACCGTAAATGATGAAACTATGGAAAAATTTTGAAGTTTAAGTGCCCCAGAAAAAGGTTTGTCTAATAATTTGATTCATTATGTCTGTCTAGCTCCGCAAGACTCCGACTGGATCAAAGATATGGATCTGCGTGTACAGCACGGTCTGAAGTTCGGACAGATGCGCGGTTTCATCAAGGCAGGCGACCCTGTCGTTCTGGTCACCGGCTGGAAGTCCGGCGCCGGCTACACCAACACGCTCCGTATTGTGTACGTATCTGATGATTTGAAGTTGATCGGGTTTAACGCATAAGTTTGTACTAACCTCGTTAATGGGCATCCATGCATGGGTTTTGCCTGGCTCATCTTTTCCCCATTTTTCCTAATCTTACAAGTTACCTCCCAATCTTTCCGATAATGGCATTTTTTTTTTATCAGTACAGTGTCCTCATTGGAAGAGTACGCAGAACTGCACTTTCAAATTCATGCGCAGTCTGCTGCGTCTAAGTTAACACTCTACTATCTTGTTTCGCAACATTTAATCGGATCTTCGGCTTGCTCGTGATTTTTAGTTCCTATCAATTTTGTTTGATCTCTTGTTGTGTCCAAATATTGTTCACTGGCAAAATGCTAAAAAACTTGTCTTGAAAGACATCAAATAATTGACTTTCGCAAAGTCCAAAGTAAAAACAGTCATGAACTTTGCAACAATTTAATTCACGAAATCTAACATTTACTTTTCGTTTAAGGAAATAAAGGACTTTTCAATTTAACCAAAAGCATAACATGAGCTAAGCATACCACAATTACAATCAGGAACAAGAATTCCAAGCATGGATAAGGAAAGTCAGAAAATTTTGATTCCCACTCTGTGAGAAGTGATCCACAATCATTTTATCCAATGATACCAGCCTTTTTCCTTCAGTCCTATTTTCTTCTAGTCTTCTAACACTGTTCACCGGCACCTGCCCTGCTTTTTAACTTTTATTTCAGGGTACTACCTATTCCTCCTAGATCTGAACTCCAGTTTGAAAAACTAAATTGCGCTTAACGCGCTAAGAACTTATCTTTTTTAGACACATTTCAGCTTTTATTATTTATAAGATTATTTTGATCAGCTTATGAAGTTGATGAAGATGTCAGTCTCCGGTGAAATAATTTTTTAATAACAAACCAGTGTGATATTGTTTTTTTTCCTTCTCTTTTTTTTTAATTATTTTTCCTCTATCTGACAGTAAGCAATTTAGTTGTATTTTGATCTATTCTTTATGTTTATGATTAAGTATCAGAAAGTACTTAAATATTTACAACAAAGTGTAAGTAGCGTCGAATATCATTCCAAATGTAGAACATGGTCAGGCTTTCTTTTCTATTTTATAAGAATAGTTAGTTGATTACTAACCCTTTTTTTTTATTCAGTTAAGATGACATTTGATTAAGTTTCCAAAGTTTCTTCCTCGTAAGAATTGAATCGCAGTTGAATCCTTCAAATCTCCGAACTGTAGAAGCACCTTTCATTTCCTGTTTTATATCTTTGTCTCCCTAATAAAGGAACAAATCTTTTCTGCGCTGTTTCAGTATTTCTTCGAATAATTTATTTTTTATTGGACACCATTGCACGAATTATTCTGATAATGCCAGAGTCTTTTACCATAGTCGTAAAGAGAAATCATTTTCGTCTAATGATTCTGCTGTAAAAAAAATTGAATGTAGGTAAGAAATACTGAAACAGCGCCAATGAGGAACGTTTCTTTGTGCAGGAACGACCATATGTCAGGTTGCAAGTAATTCAAACCCCCAAGTTCTTTTCTATCCTTAGTTTTACTTTTGGATCAACTAATTTTCCCCTTCTCTTTTTTTGGGCTGGAACAGTTGATTAGTATCATTTAAAAGGATGCTTTAGTGAACATGGATAGCTAAGTAGAAATAATGTACATCTCAATTACAATGTTTAAAAATCTTCGATTTTTTTTTCCATAAGGAAAATAAATCGAAATTCTCCCCTACAATCTTGTGTGATTTAATTTAGAATAGTTGAAGAAAATTCACAAAAAATTTTAATTGAAACTGTTTGTTAGTTTTCCTTTAAAAAAATAATACAAGGGCGAAGATTTACAATGCCGCAATGTAAGAACTGCTATTTTCGACTTGAGTCAGCAACATATTGTATTTAAAATTCTTTTCTCACTGCGGTTTGCATTAATGAACTCAGCTCCAAATTATTCTTCCAAATTTGCTTCTTGTTCAAGAGTCAACCTCAAATTCAAGATTCACATTATACTGAAAATGTGTAGTTTAATCTTCAAGTCATTCACCGATGAGAATCGTTTTCATGCTTTCACTATTATTTAATTGTGTAACCAAATGTGTAGTGTATCAGTGAGCTTTATTTCCCCTGAAAGACAAAAGTTTATTTCTTAAGTTTTCAAGTCAGCGTGAGAAGTTCCTTTTTATTTTACTACTATTTTCCCTCCTGTCCTGTGATTCACAACTATAAATTAACTCTATAAGAAATTTTTCCCCTTGCTGACCAGTTTATTCGGTCAGCATAATTTCAGTGATTACATCACCTGTTCAATCTTTTAAAGCCGTTATTTGTTGAGCCAAATCTGTTAATTGTATTGATCAATAGTTGATTAAATACCAAATAAAGACTCGTAACTTTAGTTTGGTGATTCCGACAGTTTTTCTTTGCTTCCCTAGTCGTTTAGCATCATGTATCAAGTTCTTATCAAAGTTTTGGTCGTTCATATTTTTAAGAATTCATTAGAACATGAAAAATTGACGCCGAGCATTTTTAGAAAGGACAATTTCACAGTTAATTGATTGCACTGACTGTTCACCCTGATGATAGGGAAAGATGCTTCATGTGTCATTTTTCACCAAGATTTTGTAGGTGTTCTTACCATCTGTTATGCTGATACATAATGCGATGCTGTTTTTACTCAAAAAATGCGCGGAATAGCACTAGAAAATTTGTGTAATGCATAGGGAAAAGGAAAAGTAAGATAACCGTAACACAAAAATTAATCTCAGAGAGAAAGAAAAGCATAACTTAAATGGTATCACTGACTCTATATCAATCATCGATTTAAGCATCTTTTATTTTGTCAAAATATTTTCCTCAGCAGTTTGGTTTCTACTTATATTACATCCAGAATGTGAACTTTCCTCTCTCTCTTGTTTTTCGCTTAACCTGTCCGTACTAAATGTTAAAAAAATGTTTTAAAAACAAAAAAAATCATGGCATGTACTCTAAGAGGAGGTGCAAAATCCTCTGCTTCTAAATTCTAAATTATTTCCGGGAGGACTTGTGAAGTGATGTTTTTCTTTGAAATTGGATTGCTTGTGCCGTGTAATTTTTCTTGTGGTCTTGTTTGAAAGTTTTCTTCTGGGTGATTAACTGCATGTTCAATGAACTAACCAGCTTGTCACGCAACAATACTTTGCTTATTTTAAAATTACTGTAAGTACCTACTTGAGCGCTCCTTCCATTTTGACTAAAAAATTGATTTTATCTCAAGCAGCACTAATGCGAAATTTGCTTCACCTTATCCAAGAATGTTATTAGGATGTAGGAAGCCAAAAATTAGCTCTGAAACTGAGTGTCTATGGTAAATTTTTGAGTTTTTAATTGAATGGAGTTAACAGAATTGCACGAAGTTGCATCAAGTGGATCAGGCCCATCAGATGAATTTTATCGGTGGTCAAAGTGCGATACCCCCTGCTTGTCTCAATCGACTGCTGCAGACCTATCGACTGATGTCGTGCTACAGACTTTCTGTCATACTTACTTTATTTTTTCCTCGGAAAACCAGTTAACGTAATTTCTTGATTTTTTGTCTCTGTAAGTAGAATATTCTGTATAAATTTCAAGTTATATAGTTGGCTTGTTCCTCCTAGGAAAATTAAAATAGGATCGGAATTTTTGAAACACCGCAATACGTGGTTTGCACTTTGGCCATGGATATTTGTATACAAAACTAGAATAATGGGCCATTAGACAAGATGTGACCAAGAAAAAAAGTCCCATGTTTTCTCTTCTAAATCTTACATGTGAAACGATTCACACAAGTGGAAGTCCGGAAATTCATTCCTGAACAAAACATTAACGAGTATTTTTAACACGGATCAAATAAAAGTTGGATTATACAAATGATTTTATTTTTATTTTTACCATTTAACCAGTGTTAATTGTAAGCAAATCTTGCTCAGAGCTTGATTTCAAAACTTCCTGTTGTGTGATATGCTTTCCTCATGAAATTTTGAAGAGAAAATATGTTAAGAAGTGCTTCAATTCGTAATTTGTCAGGAGGTCTCTTGAGCTGTATTGTGCAAAGCACTTCTAGAAGCCTTATAATTTAAAATCTGACTTCATTTTATCATTTTTTGATTATGTGATCTTGCGAATTTATTTTGTTATTTTTGTCTCTTTTGCAGGAGTGCCTAAGGCTGCTTGTCCTTTAGCCACAGCAAGAGAAGAAAAAAGAAAAAAAGATTTTGAGGTTCAAAGTAGTTGTTAAAAGGATTAGTTATCAGTATTACAGATTGTTTACACGCGTGTCATCATGTCGTCAAAGAGCTATTCAATCCAAGCGAACCTATCCGTATCTATTGCAATTGCACAGGTAGTCGCACCATTTGAGACTTGTACACTCCTGTATCTTTGTTGATCGGGTGATCAAAATTTTTGTACATTTGATTACCTCTTTTTAGGTTTTTATAAGGCTCTGAACCTAATTTTTCCAATCTCAAATGTTTATTTGTTAATTTATTCCTGTTCCCTGATTGGATTCTCAAAGAATCCAAAATTTATACCTATCTTAAAGATATTTAGCGTTACATTTTTCAATATTTATTTTAGTATGTTTTTGAAGAAAGTTTGTAATCTGTTTTCTTTTTCATTTAAAATTGGTATCAAACGTGCAAATTCTTTTTTTTTTTTTTGAAAAGTCCAAAGCTTTTATTGGTTAATATTTTTTAGAATCCTTTTATTACTCATCGCCCAATCTTTGCATAATATTTTCATCACCTGTTTTAAAGCATTTTCTGCCTTCGGTAGAAGACTTCACAAAGTAATTTCTCTCATTATTTTGTTGTTCAGTTTTTAAATATTTATGACAGTATGCCTCCCCTCTCTTTCAACGATCAAATCAGTCTAAATCGGAATCTCCAGAACCGCAAAGGTTAAGAAATAAAATAATTCGCATCACCAACACTACTGGAATCTTTAAATTATGACTATGAGATTCCAATTTTTGAGTTGTATTTTTAATGGAAGGATGTAAAGTTAATGTGTGATATTAAAATTATTGTACCTCTGAAAATGATAGTGATATTGCAATTAAATATAGCTTTAACTTCAAAATGTAAAACGATTTTTCTTTTCTCTAGAAATTTCTATACTCTTATGATTGAATGACTTGATGTTGTTTAACAATATAAGAAAAGCCGAAGTAAAAGTAAAAAGCTTTACTCCATTTCCATTATCAATTTTTGTCCCTGAAAATTAAGAATATCCTCTTCACTGTTATTTGTGAAAAAATATGGACACTTCTAAATTTACTTTTACATGCCTTTTACAATAAGGAGTTTGAAACCCTGCGGTCTGAATTCGAATATTTGGAATTTCAGTGCTTCTCTATTTTTACATGCAATGACAATGGCTCAACTTTTGCTACATTAAAGTAAGAATAGCACCTAAACCGTTGGTCGTAGGGCAAAACGGACGAAATTTTCCAGCCTTCCATGGCTTCTAGAAGTACTTTTGGACCCCGCATGGGCCTATGGGGCCGAGGGCCTCCAAAGGTCAATTTTCATTTTCAACATTTTGGTGCTGGTCGATTTTTAATGATGATGAAGTATGGACCAATTTTCGAAACTGAAAAATGCGAATATCTCGTTGGTCGTAGAGCAAAACGGACGAAATTTTCCAGCCCTCCTGAACCTCTGTAATTACTTCTGGACTCCTGATGGGCTCATGGGGTTGAGGGCCCCCAAGGGTCAATTTTAATTTTCAAAATTTTGACGCTGGTAGTTTTTTCATTATGATGAAAACGGACCGATTTTCGAAACTGAAACATGCGAATATCTCGTTAACCGTTGGTCGTAGAGCAAAACGGACGAAATTTTCCAGCCCTCCTGAACCTCTGTAATTACTTCTGGACTCCTGATGGGCTCATGGGGTTGAGGGCCCCCAAGGGTCAATTTTAATTTTCAAAATTTTGACGCTGGTAGTTTTTTCATTATGATGAAAACGGACCGATTTTCGAAACTGAAACATGCGAATATCTCGTTAACCGTTGGTCGTAGAGCAAAACGGATGAAACTGTTAGCCCTCCTGATCGCTGAAAGTTACCCTGAGCCCTGTGGCTTCGATTTAAATTTTGGCAAGGTACGAAGAGGAAACTGGAAATAAAGAACAAGCAATAAAAAACTTAAATTTTGAACCATAACTTTTTAACAAATCTTTATTTTCATGATTGTATGTTCTAAACAAACAAAATAAGATACTTAGAAGAGTCGCGCTTGATACTGTACAAAATCTAGGTACAAGAAATAACAATTACCCCTGAAAAATGAAAGAAAAAATACATTTTGGCAAAAACTGAATGGAAGAAATTAAGATTAAGAAGCACTCAAAAGATATGTTCGGATGCAAAATTTTTGGAGCATGAAGTATACAAAAAACAGACTAATTTAGAATTTTACCGAGATAAAAGATGGAGCTTTGCAGAATAAGAAATAATTGCAAAAACCAGTAAGTACAAGACACTAAAACCTGTAGAGGAAGGTTGTAAGTTACGCACCCATACAGTAGACTTGCTAAAAAAGTTATCTCAAGTTTCAGTGTTTTGTTGTAGTTTCAAAAAGATCTTGAAGATTGACGATGCTAATGAAACTTTCTTACATTTGTCTGTAGACTTAGGGCAAAATGACTCTAATTTTCTTCCCAGTTCTATGGTTCTAGAGGAAGTTTTAAAGTGTACTCTGAAGGTCTTATTATGAACACCAGAGATGTATCTAGTTTTCACAACCTACAGCATTTAATTCTGTGAACATCTGTGCGTCTCTTGGCATTTCGCACTTCCAAGAGCTTCGTCAGCCAACCACTTACATAGACTGTAGCTGAAGTTTAAAAAACCAGGGCAAGTACATGTATGTTTACAGAATAGAATACTAAACTCGGCCTTATCACATATCTCAGATCTTTGTACATCTCTGGCATTTTACACGGAACTGATGTGAATTTGATGTTAAAGTTTCTTAGTTCAAGAGTTTTTTTCTGGTGTGTCAAAGATTTTAACTTTTCAAGAGCACTTTGTTTCTATTTAGAGACGCCAAGTAAAAATCATAACAAGAAATATTTTGAGAGCCAAAAAGAAAAAGAATTAGATAAAAAAGATAAACAACAAACATTATACATGACAATATATGTAGTGACACTGTTAAAGACTTCCAGAACTTGTATAATAGTTTTATAATGATCACTTATGTGTGCAGTGAGGCAAGATAAGCAAGGAACCAGTAAGGTACAAACAAGTGTGAAATTATAGAGAAATTGCAGACCTTTCAATTTTCCAAACTGAAGGCAAACAAAACCCTTTTTTGGAAGGCAAAAACCTCATAAGTGAAAATGAAACTTCCTATGTACCTCACTTTTGACGTAAATCTTAGAAACTGGTTGCACCACTTCTAATGTGAAACATAGTAAATTCTCAGGAGAATCGTTCGACTGAAAATTGCACAAAAATGTATGATGAATGATTAATTTAAAATTGAAAATTCAGTGCATGAAAAGCATAAAATTGCTAAAAATGAGCAAAACAAAACCTCATTCTTTTCAGACCCTACACCGATAAACAAATTTCATCCTTACAATTTTTCAATTAATGCAAAGAGTTAGGAATTTCACTGCATGTCCACTGGCTATGAAAACTACCCAAGAAGTATTAATATCAACACAGAATCAAATATAGAACCTAGGTAAAAACAGTACTTACGAAACTGATCATCTACTTACATAACTGCAAGTGCAGATAATAGCAATTTCAGTTGGAATATTTTAAAGGAACAACAATGGTTACAAATGTAGATTCCTTGTCTCAGAACTACATGGTATATCTGGAGAGATGCTTTGTCGGTATGAAAAATCCCAATGCGACTTCCATCAAGTCTGTTTAAAGGAGCAACTGAAAAGTTTGCTGGTAGGAGGGTGTTCGTGAAATTGATCTTCGTTTAAAAAATTAATTATACAGCATGAGCGCATCTTTGGAAACACACCTTCATCATTTCATGTTCATCCGACCCTTTTATTTGGAATTAAAGGCTAAAATTCGCGAGGCTACTCTCTTAAAGCAATAAATGAGTTTTACCCACAGTAAATATTTTTCAAAGACACCCTCGCACAGGCATTCTCTTCATATGGCTCCTATAAAATTGTACCTCTGAAACCTCACAGTGAGGTCATAACTGATTGTGCGAATTTTTGCCGGACTGTTCAGCCAGAATTCAGGAGAAATTTGCTTGATTAATAACAACTAGGGCTTTTCATACCTTACGATGAGATAAGACAAAAAATATGATGAAAACAGAGATATTGGACGGATTAAACTGGAATTGCATTTCCCGCTACCTTATTTTCTCTCATATTTTATCTTTTCCAACTAAGAACTAAACTAATTAAACGCCTTAAGATTCTCGGTGAATTCACTCAAGATTATGAAAAATATAATAAAAAAATTTCAAATTCCTTCCCAGTTTGAAAAATAAAATATGAGTGACAATTAGGCAACATCTGATGTGGTTAGGCTAATCCCTATTGAATCCGTCTAATGGAAAAGAAGAAAAAAATGCTTCGTCCTTAAAATCCTTCAGCTAGTATGTCTGAAAGTAAATGTGTATAGTTCTGAAGGAATGTAATTCCTTTAAATGTAAACGCCATGACTTGCGGAACAGAGCAAAAGAATTCCAAAACAAGCACGACATTTTCAACAAGGATTCACGTATCTAACAATTTCGTCTTAAAAATAGAAAAAATTCAGGTTGGATACATGAATTCAGAGTAAAATATGAAATACAATCGGAAAACAGATAAAAAGACTCATTTATACGACTAATTGGAGCAGAAATAAAAAAGTCAACAGGATACTTAACGTAGAAAAAGTGCGACTTGGACATCTAGGATCGAGAAAAAAAACGAAGTCTGTCCCGGCAAATGAAATCGGTAACAAGAAAATCAACTATTACATAAAAGTGCATCTACATCTGTAGAGTCTAATTTTTGTTTCAAACGCTGTATCAATTTTACGATTACTTCAAGCATTGTGTCAGGTAATCAACAAAGGAGATTCCAAAGTTCTTATAAAAATGATTAAATGTTAGTTAACTGTCATCGGGGAATTAACAAGGAATATTCGCTAATTTTTATTTCTGTGAGACAGATTAATATGATAACAAGATCTTTCAAGGGAAATTTATTGAAGGAATTGATTTTTAAGAAAAATTGTCCAAGACACGAGTAACTTAATCTTGAAATTGAGTTATGGATCGGTACCGACTAGGTACGAAGTCATCCTAAATTTTAGTGAGAACATGATCAAAAAACAATCCCAATAGTTGTAGGGAATACATTCTTCAATAATGAAGAGGATACTAGAGAAGAACACAAGTGCAACACTAAGGATTTGGATAAAATCGGCAGAACTGACGCTTTCGCGGAACACATACCGAATTAGTTCGCCAACTCTTGGAGGCAATCAATAAACAGCCATTTTGCATATTTTATCTAAAGTCCACGCCAAATAAGTTTACGCACTTTTACACTGCGACAGAAGCTCTTCTGATGTCTTTCTTACATGTAAAGTAAATGGAAGAATCAAGATGGTAAATCTTCTGTCGCAGCCTGTAAGTGCGGAAACTTATTTGACGAGAGCTCTAATAAGTTTTAATTCAGGAGTGAGAGCAGCAGATCTAAAAGTTGGCCAACCAATTTTATGTGAGTTCTAGTGAAGCATTTAAAGTTCATGCTTCGATTTCTTCAGTGCTCAAAATCATAAAAATTGCTACTACATATGAACAACGCTTCGAACAATAAACTGAACAATGCTTAAATAGAAAAGATGAACATGCATACAACCACTCATAAAGTAGGAAATACAAGCAAACCGTGAAGTCAGCTTGAAAATGCTGGCACAAAACTGACGTCCAGAAAGGAATAAGAAAGTTTGAAGCACCTGATGAAATATCAACAAGAAAAAATATACATACAAAAAACTAATTACAAACACACTCAGGTAAAAATCTGATCTAACTGAAAGTATATCACATGTGCATCTTAATTTTACCTCTTCTGATCGATCTACAATCACACAAGTTTCGCCCTAGAATTATGTACCTAGACCCTGTCAGTGGATATAAATTTTGCTCCATTATTGCCTCTTGAAAATTTTCTTCACCCAGTACATTTAAAATAGAGGGCAGGAGGCCATAAATTGAGGCTTTCAAATTATAAAAACCAGAGCTGTGATGTTGGTAAAATTTTAATTTAGGTAGCACAAGATTTGGACAGATTTGGTGCAATCCGCAATGTTAGGTATTTGAAAAACTAGGCAAAGTCTCTCCTTTGCCCACAAGATCTTGTAGAACGGACGAAAAACAGTCACCTCCTTTAATACAGGAGAAAAAATTTATTGAAAACTTCCTTTGTTTTCCTTTTCTATTAGCAGAATATACAGTAGAAATTTCAAGCTGTATATTTGACTTGTTTCTCCTTAAAAAAATAAAATGGGAGTGGAGATTTTGTAACACTGCGATGAAGATACATGTTTCGCACTTTAGCCATCGAAACGTGAGAGGAATTAGGCAATGTTTAATAAAGTTCGGCTCATTCTGGATAGATCCGTCTAAATAGCCTTCAGAACTTACAAACAAATTCCACTAGCATTACAAAAAATTTTAAAGCAATTATCCGACAATAATCTTTCTCGTTAGCAGAAAAATTGAGATTCCATCACTTGACATTCAAAAATTGATTATGACTGAAATTTCAATTCGTTGAAAGACTGTGAAGAAAATTCTTTATGATTAAAATCCATTTACTTGGCTGGCAGGCCCAGGACCAATGTCTCAAAATCTTGAGCTCAGATGAGGACTCGCTCGGTTGCGAGCAAGTAACTTGAGAAACAACTTACATTATAACAACACCAAAAGGCAACAACATAGAAATTCTCGTTAGTGACGAGCAGGAATCACTGAATTCTCAAGAAAACAAGATATTCAGAGACTTTTATACTGATTTGTAAAACTTTAAAACTGATTCGATACATGAATCAGAAACATCATAAAAAGAGGAGGAATATGCGATTAATTTACACTATGTACCTATTTACCTGACTTATCTTACAAAAGTTGTTAAAAAATAAAAAATGAAAACGGACTCAGGAGCGAGATCATGACTTCAATCATGAATGATTCGCTCAGAACTTTCATCAGCGGTAAACTTAGAGGCATATTCACAGCGTATTTTCATGCAGTGACTTTTTAAAGGTTTTCAAACAAATCTGCGTCAATAATGAATTTAAAAAATAACTCGTTCAATGTGACAGACACAGAAACTTAGGAGAATTCTGCACCTGCCTCAAGTTAAAGTCCACTTTTGTAAAAAATGATTCATGAGGAAAAGACAAATCATCAACCATGCATCCTTTTCCGGGGTATTTCTAATTTGGAATCTTGAGGAATCATCCTCTTTCAAAATGTGCTATAGTGTGCTGTTGGGAATGTTCACATTTGGACTACATTTTGCAAGATAGAACCATAATCTCTGGCTCATTTTGGAAACAGCATTTGTGCTATTAGTTCCCCTACGCCGATAGACGCCTCCATGGATGAGCGAAAAATATTGTTCTTAACTGCAGAATGCAGTCCATTTCTACAATACAGGCACCTAACTTGACAGACTAAGCTAATTTGACGGAAACTAGGTAATACTTTGATAGAAATATGATCGTTTACAATAGGAATTTTGAGAGGTTAAAAACAAATCTCAAACTAGAAAAAAAGTTAGATAGAAAAAATATAGAAATTATAGGGGTGCATAAAATTTGTAAGCCACACTCCCATTGTCATCAAAAAATTAAGATTTAATAATACGTCAAAATAAAAATTGAAAAAAGAAGACGGAACATAATCAGACATTGATGAGAAGTATTGTTTGTCTAAAAGTACCTGACAGAGATTCTGTCTACAATTGAAAAAAGAATGAGAGAAAAAAAACTTAAAGCAATGATGAATGGAATGACCGAGAAAAAATTAAAAGGTAGAAGATATAGGGGATCGAAACTGGAGACCTCTTTTTAAAAATACTCCAAGAGAAACAATGGAATAAAAACGCCAAAAAAGGAAGAGTTCCAGGAGGGAAATACAACTTTCAAATACATTCTTAAAATTTTTTCACTAAAAATTGATGGGAGCGATTTAGTTCACATGACAAACAATACTTTCATAGATTTTCCGGCAAGTCAAGAAAAAATTATTTCTCAGAAAACATAAAAAAACTTAAATACGATCAAAATTCCTTCACAGTCTTGTAGCTTCCCTGAATGAGGGGGAAAATAATCTAAGTACATCCTGCTCTCGAGTGCAATATTAATACAAGAAAATAATTCCTCAATTAAAACAAAGTCTGTAAGAAAAGTGAAGAGGCTGAAGACATTTGTCACCAAGAGGCAGAAAATGCCCGATCTCGCAATCCTACAATCACAGCAAACATGAGACGATTTTAAAACATGATGACCTTTTTTTTCCTTTCATTTGGAAGGGCAATATATCTGTTATAATTGAATGTAGAAACTTAACATTCGGACAAATATTATTAATTTTTCCAATTTTCAACCTTAAACCATCAAAATACGCTTCTGTGACAAGTGAAACTGACCCGTTCAGTCAGTCAGAATCTTGATGACCCTCAAGTCTAACTGTAACTACATATTCGCAAAATGTCCCTCCTATCATCAAGAACAAACAAAAAAAGCTAATATATACAAGACTTCATCATCCAGAAATGCAAGCTATCAAAAAGAAATATCGAAAAAATAAAAATGCAAAATTACCTAGGATAAGCCCACTTTCAAATTCAACCTAAACGAAAATCTGAAAGTTATAGAGCCTACATATCACAAAGTCGTGGCCTTATTTCTAAATTTTTCCCCTCTTTTCCTCTAGATTTCTGAGTAAAATACACACAGTGGTAAAATAAATACTTTACACATCAATTCAAGTGCTAAAATAGAAGCGTTCATTGCATCACCACACAACTTTCACCACGACAAAAGAAACAGTGGTTACTTCCAAACTCTAAAAGGTAAGACTCATAAAAAGATAATGATAAAAAAAATAGAAAAATCTCCCAAAAAATGTTTAATCCTATTTATTGTTGTACTACATACTTTCAACTTGTTTTCAAACAGTGGGTGAATCGTATGCAGTTCATGCTGAACCACCCAAAGTTTCCTAAGGGTATACAATATTAAAGTTTCTACTTGTAAATCATACAATCTTAGAAACAATGCTACGGAGCACCAGAAGGCACCGTACTAGCGGCTTGTTTTTTGTCCAATAACCTTTAAATGATTTATAGGAGAATATTTTCATCCAAATCAACAAAGGTGATGTAAGAAAAACCGTTGGCTGAAACAATTAAATTCCAAAAATAACAAAAATGCAGTGGCAAACTCGAGGGACTATTAAAGAATTGGACTGCATTTTGCAATTTGGACCTATAAATTCTGGCTCATCTGAAAAAACACTTATGTGCATAGGGAGACTAATGGCATAAACGTTGTTTTTAAACCGGGCCGGAATTTATAGGTCCAAATTGCAAAATGCAGTCCAATTGGTCACCCGCAACAGTGATGCTTTGAAATTTGAAATGTTTCAGCATTAATTGCATCAAAACAACAATCAAAGAAATATTTTACATCAACATTTTGACGCAATTGGAAAAGAGGGATCCTCAATCTTTCAAGTTGGACTCCTCAACTTGCACATATAAAAGCTTACATTACTGAGCCTGAATTTTGTTGGCAGGTTTGGAGTCAGCCGCAAGTTGCGATACAAAAGTCAATTATGTTCTTCCATCGCTGATTAATGGTTTGCACAGTCGAGGAACTACGGATGGCTCGAGTCTGCTGTAAAAAAATCTTAACTTGCATACAGCTTGAGTTTAGAATATAATTTTCCCAACTTAAAGTCGAATTTAGAAGGTGAGGTTTCAAAACTTGCGGTTGATGTAGCCAACAAAATTTGGGCCCTTTAAAGCAGTTCCCTTTCGGATAGGACAAAACAGACAAAATTTGCTTACTTCGTAAACAAGGTGTCTACCAGAACCTCATCATAAAAATCCTGGGTTTATTTTTAGTTTTTCTTTATTTTTCTTCGCTTTCCTAAAAATTTCTTTACTCAGGGGTTTCCTACAATTCTTACTTTTTCATTAATTTTTTCCCTCTGTTCATTTACACGTCTCCCTTTTATTCTGAGAGGGAGAGCATTTTCTTTTCAGGCACAAATTGATAATTAGTTTGACATTTAGGGTGAATAGTTCACAAATTTGGATTCATAGAATGAATTCTAGGAATGCTGAACGAATGTACTGAAACATACAGAATCAAACTGAGATTTTGAAGAGAAATTACATGAGATATAAACCAGAGAGAAATTGTATACCATATTAATAAGGCTATTTTTAAATTTAATCTCATACCTGTACATCCATATCTTTTCATGGAGAAATCTTACAGTTTTCGTACTTTCGTACCGTCAGTGCTTTTTCAGCACATCCGTACGGTAGACACCCTGATAGACAGAGATTTGACGAAAAAAACCCAGATTATCGGACAAAAAAAGTGAAAATTGAAACGAATAGAAAACCCTGCTGGAAGGCAAAGTCATTAGATCTAGGTAAAACTTAACAAAACGTGGATTCATAACAAGAAACAAAGCAGCGTTTACCGATGGCACTCGGTAGGCTGAGGAGCGAAAGCAAATTCTATCGATGCGTTTTACTGTGCGTACAGCTACAAGTAAAGCAGCAACACTCCTGCTATCTTTTGCTAAAGCTGCTTTCGGTTCCATTCCCTACTTGGTAACTCTCTAATCTTTCCAGCAGTTTCCGCTTATCCTCCAGAAGTGTCATTACTTCTTGCTGTGTGCAGTTCAACTGAGCTCTGAACAAAGGGGAAAAAAAAACAATATGAGAGTATAAATGAAGTTAAAATTAAAAGGCAGCACTACAAACTTTCTTTGTACAGGTAACGATAAAAATTATCGATTTTATGAAAATATATTTTGAAAATTTGCGAGTTTATATTTTAAGTCAAACCTTCAGAGCGATAATTCATGATTACACAAACTGATTGTGGTGATTAGTGTTGCACTGAACAGCATATTTCTTTGAGGGAAAACTGTGCTCATATGAGCTTTTTCCCTTTGTATTGAGATTTTCAGCTTTATGCTGAATTTTTAACGCACTTTGGCAAACAAATCCAACATACTGAATTCATGATTCTAAAGTCACAGCTTTTTTTTTGGTGAAAAATGAAGATTTAAATTTGAGACCTGGGCTAGTTATATTAGCCTTGTTAAAATAGCAATTAAAAAAACTGTTGTTTCTGGGATAACAACAAATTTTTGATTTTTCAGACAAGAATTTTGTCAGTACTCATTAATTTCATAAATAGTATTCCACTTCCGCTAGTAATCTACTTCCAGGAATGTTTCGCCAACAAAGCTTGGGAACTTAAATGCAGGAAAAAATGACAAATATAAAAATTGAACAAATTAAAACTTACCTCAAGGTGTGATTTTCTTCCTGATACTTTCTCAACTGATGATTTTCCTCATTCAGCGATTCCATTGCAGCTAACCGTCGCCTTAGTTGTTCCATCTCGCGTTTCATTTCAGACATTTTAGCCATGTTTTCATCGCTCAGACTGTTCGATAGCGTTGATGCACTGTTCAAAATCTTGGTGCAGTTCTTTGCATCAAACGGTTCGATGCAAAACATGCCGTCAGCTCCTCTGCGAATCCTCAAGCGACAAACTAATAGGTCCACAGGGACAGGCTCTGGGGACGAAATATTGCTGAGTGCCCTTTCTTCTATGAGGTGAAGTTTGATATTCTCAATGTCCAACTGATTGAAAGGAGAAAAGAAAGAACGTTCGTGAGGTGAAAGTTGAAAGTACTTTAGTTGTTTAAATGCATTCGATAGATAGAGCAAATTAGAAAATATTGAAGTGTTTTAGAGTTGGAAAAATAAAGGTAAAGACATGGAGTTTGATAACAACCAAGATTCAAACACTGTGAAATGAACTGTTAAATGAGGAAGTAATTAAAGAGCTATGAAATATGTAATGTCATCAGGATTTTTCGCAAAATACAAAAAACATACTATGTTCTACGACACAAAAATTGGTGGCTGAGAGGCAGGGTCAGGTGAGAGACTCTCTGCATGCCAAGTTGGAGAAAAGCGGGGCTGAAAAGTAAATTTCCAGTATTTTTACAGGCAATATTTATAACAGATGTTGCAACATCTGTTAACCCTGATAGGTGAACGAGAAAAATTCTGTTACCTCCCAGGCCGAGAGAAAAGACAGATGAAAAGAAGTAAAGTCCTCTAAATAATAACTGCATTCGGTGCAACGTCCACACAGACATGGCAAATTCCACACCTCTAATAGGAAATGCTTGAAAGAGGGTTGAATAATTCACTTTTCAGCCCTGTTCCTCTCGATGATGGCTTGGAAAAAGTTCGATTTTAAAAGCTCATCGTGCGCAGGAAGTCGTAAAGACCATTTTACCAAATAATATCGAAATTTAGCTAGCACTAAATTTAATGCTATTCCGTACATAGCCATTTGAAAATGTTCTGGGTGTCTAGATGAACTACCTTATGCAATTAGGAACATCAATTTCTGGCTTTATTCAGAAACAACGAGCATGCCATCGAAGTCCCTATGCACATAAGTGTTTTTACAGATGAGCCAGAAATTGTGGTTTCTAATTGCAAAATTTAGTCAAAATATTACGAGTGAGATGGATCGCATTTAGCAAAGAAGAACCAGCGCCATGACAGTGTTGTAAAAATCTTGCTTCTTCATAATTATCTAAAAAAATCTCCTGAAATAGCTTTTGGCCTCCCACCAAAAAATTGTTAATTTTAAAGGAAAATAATTGTGTAAATTTTAATATTGTACAAATATAAAGTATTTTTAATAGAGAAGGAGAAATTGCACGATTTGAGAACACTGTAATTTTGCTGGTTCCTTTAGGCTAAATGCAATGCAGATATTGATGTGGAAACATGTATTGTAGGGCTTAAGTTTATACTTTTTCTCAAATACTATGGTTAGGGTGAAGATAATACAATAAAAAGTAAAATATAGGGGGAACGTCCTCTACGTTTTTCACTCAGGATGATCTACGGATTAATTGAAGAGAAGCCGCATGCATTTGAAATGCTTTCTCATATTTTGTAAAAAAAAGATATAAAATATATTTCCTTGGTAATGAAACGAATGGACACTTACTTCCAGAGGAAGAGGTTGAGGAACGACTTCATCTTCGACGACATCACTAATGCCAGCCAACGTCGAAGCTGAAATGGTGAGATTGATATTCGTCAGTCTGAGAATGAGGTAGTCACTGGCCCACTGATGCGCCAAGCTTTTCGACCACTTTTCGATATTATGTCTTTTAATCTCATGATTCAATCGGAGCTTGACACATGGTTGTCCACCAGGTTGCCGCTCAATTTCAATCCAATCTCGCGATCTGGTGGTGAATTTATTCTGCAAGGAAAGAAAAACCATTCCATCAAAAACTCTCTGGATTTTCAATTTGATCAACAGTTTCTTCTGTCATGTGTCAATGTGATAAAAAAGAATCAACTCTCATCAGTCGAATGGAAATTCAAAACAGCTTAAGCGCCATGAGATGTTGATAAGATTGTACGACTGCATCTCTAGTTTGATGGTTAATAACAATTTACATCCTAAAATTATAAAAATTATTGTTGAAAAATGTAAAGAAAATTTCTCAATGAAAATTTCTAGAAACCAAAGCTTTTAACAATACCCTGATGACAGTTATTTTTTTTCGTTTCAATTTTTATTAATTTCTAGTTGCCTATAGTTTCTTATTCAATTTTTAAAAGAGGACAGGCTTCACTTCTTATACTGTCACGCTGTTTCCTGACATTTATGTTTATTACTTACAAGATTCATCAACATTAATGACTAGAGAACAGTACTGAGAAATAAAAAAGACAGACAGATGAATAAAATCTGGCGAATATCTAACTACATAGATCTTGCGCAATTACGATGGGAGAAAATTAAAATTTAAATGTCATTAGCATACATTTGCACACACACATAGACAGGGACAAGTGCTAAAGATAAAACAATGGTTCTTCAGTAGTTTTAAAGCGACAGTATCTCAATTTTTTTTTTTTTCAGGAAATTGAAAACAGTTGAACGTATTGCAAATTCTACGATTGGCTTGACAATATTCCCAGTTATAATAAAGGTTTAGGGATTCCATACGTATTCAAGCACCATTAAGTTATCAGAGTTGAATGAGTGGGTGAGAAAAAATTTTACTGATGTAAGAATCATCGATTTATTAGCGAATGCGATCGATCCGACATGCAAAAGAATAGATGACAGATTTGCTACTTAGTCAAGACGTCATGCAGGAAACACCAATTAAATGTACTTCTACAGCCCAAATAGTTTTGAAATTTTGAATCTAATTATTATCATTATTGATGTCATTTTAAAAAAAACACAGTCTTCCTCGGTGCAATTCTCCCAAAACTGATTTAAATATTCTTTGATCGTAATAAACCAAAAGTAACGAAAACTAAACGAAACAAAACAAACGGGAAAACAAGGTGACAAACTGTGAGCTAAATAATGAAATAAAGAAAGCAGAAACTAAAAAACTCAAACACACAAAAAATAATTAAAATTGCCGATGCTTTCCGGACTCAGACAAAATTTAGCCTTGAAGAAGAAGCTGCAGAGCCCTGAAATGCGTCGGCAATTTTCATTATTTTTTGTGAGTTTGAGTTTTTTTGTTTTCGTTTCGGCTTTCTTTATTTCATTTTTTGATGTTTTCTTAGATAGTAAACTGATACATGCAGCAATTTTATAGATCATTAAAATGTTAATCGACTAATGCTCAACGGCACCATTTAGTCAAATAGATCTACTCTACTTGATCTTTACTTGCTAACACACTGACTGCTATAGTATTTTCTGTTCACAACTACATCCTGTGATATTGCAGTCAATACGTTAACCCTCGAATGGACCACATTTTGACATTAGGAACCAGGTACAATTTCAGGTTCATCTATAAAAGCACCTATTTTCATGGGGAGACTTATGTAACATATGCTGTTTCTAAAATAAGTCAGAAATTGTAGTTCCTAATTGTAAAATGCAGTCTAATTGTGAGAAAGTATAAATTGTGTAGTAATGAAAATTGGTTGAGATAGATACCTTGAATTTGACCTTTAACAATCATTCAACGATGCATGAATGCAGACACCAAAGTCATAGAGGAAGTAGAGAGAAAACAGAGAAGGTGAGCATGCAAAACAAGTCAGACAGAGAAGTGTGAGAGCGTTTAATGCAGAGAAAGAAAGTCTCAGTTAAACATGTTCGAAAGGGAAAAAGGGTACAGGGTATCATTTGAAACATGAATAGTGCGTTAGAATTACAAAATCCGCCTATTAAAATTTTAAAATAAAATTTCACTGGAAGATTTCTTGCGATCATGATGCGTATCTTTTTATCACTTTCCAATTTTTATCAGTTTAAATCCAAGCTTCTTTTGACGGTGGCATTAAAGAGAAACTCTTAAATTTACGGCAAAATTCAAAATAAAAAGGTCATTAGTAATCTAGACACAAACAGTCAGTTCAAAGGATACTTATTTCAGTAATGCTTCTTCAGCATTAAACAGTTTGCTATTTTCTTTCCCATGCTGTCAGGTTTTTTTTCGCATTTTATTACTGTTGCGTGGGCAAAGGCCAACTTAAATGATCAGTTTATTTTTAAAAGGTGCCATCTCGAATTTTTCCCTACATGTCTATGGATTTATTTTCTAAAAACTCCATTCTGAAAGAAAAATCTGAGATAATGTCTTTACGAAAAAATTCATTAGGTAACAAAACGACGAATGATTCTTCTGACAGTAGAATGACACTCTACTTTTTACCTGATGTGAAATGCACATTCAACATCCAAGTAGCTAAATTTTGACTTCTTCTAAATACTTCTTTAGTTCTTTCAAGGAAGGCCTCTCAGTTATTGATAAAACTCTTCTCCAGTAGTCCTGGTCATTTCTGACCAATCAGCTCTAATCAGACGGATTTGTTTTTCCGGACCCTTTTCAGGAAATAGCTGTAGGATCATTTGTCTGGCAAAACTAGGACAAGTGAAAAAACGGGGGAAAAGTCTACCTGTTTTATCCGTACGATGATTAAAAATGGTTTTGATATTTTCTGAGAGTTGCAATCCCTGTGAAACAAGTTATCACTTCACTTTAAAAACAAAAAACCATGGTAAATACCTGAAATTCATCCCAAGGAATAGACGGGCACTCATCAACTGCTATGTTTGTGACTTGAATTTTTATTGCTGAATGGAAGCCTTCAGATTGCTGGAGAAATTCGACTTCACCTAATTTAAACGTTGCGACAGAAATCTGAAACGACAGGCATCAGGTCGATAATTAAAAATTTTATAATTGAAGAGAAGGGAATGATCTCGTGCAAAAATAAATTAACTAAATGCTTCAAAATGGTGTTACTATTCCAAAAAACAACATTTGTGATATGAGAATGATCAAAGTGAGGCCTTGGTTTATTTGATTTCATGAGACCGAAGGTTGAATCTGTTAAATCGCTATCTGATTGATTGATGTAGTTTCGGTTGAAATTCCACTCAAGGGCAAATACCTTATTACATGGAAAAATTGTAATACAACTGAAAAACCTCTGTAACCATTGATATACATATTTTCACACAAAAATTTTGTCTTCTATAAAACATGGATTCACTGACTTGAAAAGATAACATTTAAGTTCTCTTTGTAAATGGAGATTCTCAGAGACCAAGAAAATTCATTATTTTTGGTTATTTTGTTGTATTACAGTGTCTGTCAAAAGTAAAAAGAAACTTATTGGAACACTGATTTATAAACGTCCTACCAAATCTTTGCGTTTGTACGAGCTTGCTAACGAATCTCTTTCACTAGGCGGCGTTGTGAGAGGCGTGATGTCATCATCGTCATCCAGGGCTTCACAAGCCACTTCTACTTTACAGTCAGCTCCGAAGTTGAACTGGTCATCAGCAAAACCATCTTTGTCATTCGCTTTCAAGAAAATGTAACTGTCTGAATTATCACTATCGGACCTGAAAAAAGACATATATTTGGTTATTTGAGAGGAATATTATTTTAAATCCTTGAAAAGAAGTAAGTAGCAGGCCATAAATTGAAACACCAAAATCAATAATGATTCCTGTTTACACTAACTCTTGCTAAAGTATGAACAAAATCTTTCTACAAATTTAAATTAAGGGGAGAGGCACTTTAAAGTTGTTTGTGCTTTCTTGGATTGCACTGGCTGAAGTTCTTGAGCCGGCATGCCACTCGGAAAATTCCCTGATTTTTCCTATGAAATTCCTGACCTTCCAGGATTTCCAGACTGCCAGAAAACCCTGAAAAATCGAAGAAAATCTTAAATCTTGCTGTGGGTCCAATGAGTAAGATACTAAACGTTAGAAGAAAAATTCAATCAATGGACCATTAGAAAAGGTACAAATTAAGCATTCTGATACATGTTTCTTAACCAAACTATAATGTAGAACACGATTTGTTGAAATTTGTTGATTGATTGAAAATTACTGAAATTGACTCCTAACCAAGATGAATAATAAATTTTGACGCGTAAATTCAAACCTCCTTCTCAGGTAAACACAATGGTCTACTTACGTCACTTCACAAACTAAATGTTACCGTAGCAGTCTACAATACGAAAATATGGCAATCTTAATCATGACGTTTTGGCTCAGCTATAGCGAATTGTCTTCAGTTGGAACAATGAAGGGTGGGAAATGAACAAAGTTTGATTGAGAGGCCTGCCAAAACTGTTGTAGGGCGCGATTTGACTTACGTAGAGTATTGCGTTGATTGTGACCAGGCAATTCAAATTTCCCGTAACCAATGTGAAATTAGAACGTTAATAGCTTAGTTAGAAGTTGATTTCATTAATTTTTGATGGCAAAATTGGGTTCTACGTGAAATTTTGGTTAAGAAACATGTATCAGAATGCTTTAATTCAGACCATGTCCAAAGGTCCATCGGACTTGTTTCACTCATAACTATGTTATTTGGTCTACTTGTATGAGCATTTCATGAATTCACAAAGCACAAACCTGATTGACACTGAGTCACTCAAATCCTCAATTGGCGTTTGTTTGAAACTTTCCATGAGATTACTCCATTTTTTGGAAATGTTGTTGTCGCTCATCAGGTTCTTCTTGGTGCCTGGCGAATCTCCGCTTTTCACGGGCGTCGAGAAAAATGAGCTCCCTTGCTTCTTCAAAATATTCTTAGTCGGTTCCCTCGAAGAAGTTACTTCCTTTACTAAATTCGATATTTCTTCTAATCTGGACGGCTGGAAGTCAGAACTGACTTTGTCTTTGGAGTAACCTAGCTTCAGGTCGAAGTCTCTTGAGAATCCGTTAACCTAAAATTATGAAATGTTTTTAATCTATGAAGGAATAAAATAAAGGAACAAAGTAGAGTATATTTTTATGATGGAAGTAAAGGGTATTATTTTACACAGTGTCTAGTTTTTTTTTCATTTTAGGAAATCCTGATTTTTCCTGATTTTTGACTGCTAAATCCTGATTTCAAAATTTTTCAAAATCCTGATTTTTTGCAGAGAAAAATTAAAATCTCTGCATAAGGGTATGCAAAAGCATAAAAAAAATCCGATCGGACAGCCGACTTTTCTCAAATCCTGATTTTACGACCCATTTTTCCCCAAATCCTGATGAAATCGGTATTAAATCCTGATTAACCTCAAATCCTGATAGAATCGGGAAAATTGTGAAATCCTGATGCTAGACACCTTGTTTTAATTCATGAGACATTTCCCAAATTTAGCACATTTATACTCTATCTACTTGATCAGCTGACATAGCTGAACAAAGCGATAAAATAAAGGAAATATGTAGGCAACAATGTCTTTCTCTGAAAACACCCTGTTAGGGAAAGAATATTAGTGGAATTTTTCAAGTTTTTCTCTCACTAAAATGAAAAGTTTTTGATATATTTTCGATCAATGATCTACTATTGGACAAAATAAAGCAACTAACTCTGCTGTTAACTTGAAAATCAACGTCCAAGTTCTTACTCTTCCGCATCAAAATTACAATTTCCAGAATCTGCATACTGATATGTGTGCGTCTAAAGAATCAATCCCTAAAGTTTCCAAACATCCTGTAAAACTGATCATGATAAACTAGAGGAGGTACACACTTTGTTAAAACTCTAAAAACATACAGTGAAAAAAACTGGTACCTGAGTATTGTTATGAAAACTGTTCCAATGAACATTGGCGGTGCTACTAGAGACCGCCGTTCCATCATCAACAAGACTTGACGAGTCTGGAACAACTGATGATTCTAGATCACCGCCAGAGGTGGATTCTTTACCAGGTTGCTGCGACTGCATAACGAACGTTACTTCCAGTTGCGGTAGAATTGCGCCCATGATAATTGATCCTGCCTCATTGGTGATTCTTTTAGTATCTATAGCTAGAAAAGTTGTTAACTGGAAAAAACAGAAATGGTAGAAAATAATAAATTAAATAAAATAATTCTTTTTCAAAAAAAAACAAAAACAAAAAAAAACAGAGTACAATGAGACTTTCCTCACTTTATACCGTTGTTTCCTTGTTTTCAATGTATCTTGGCAGAGTGTTAAAATTTGCAAACTTGGTATGATTCTATATTCCAGCAATGTTAAAATGTAAAATTTAGGAAGGAAAAATTTAATAAAATTAGAAAAACTGCTGCTGCCTTTTTAAAAGTTTTGAGGGTAAGATTTTTTACTTTACTTATGCTTTTTTCAGGCCAAGATTATCTCTATCCCAATATAATAGTATTTCATCAAGTGCTCATGCTGACTAAAAATGTTAGCTTCATAGATATTGACATAATAATGCGAAAATAATTACTAAGAATAGAGAGGAATTACTGATTAGACAACCCCCCACCCCCTTCAAACAGCATCTGAAGTGAGTGTGAAGAGGGTGTGAAAAAGCATCTGATAAACTTAAAGAATGTAGTACCCGCATTTATACTTCCAACCAAATTTTTTGTGACAAATATGAAAAGTACAGATTAAAACACTGTTCCACCTCTTTCAAAATATTCAAGTGCACTTAAAGACAAAATTAAATCTTACCTCTCCAAAATCTTCCGCTAATCTCATGAGGAACAAAAGTTGATAGTGGTTAATTTGAACGCTAACCAAACTAGATACGCATGCCATTGCATGAATATCAGCTATCCGGTCTTCGGAGCTACTGCTGACCGGCCCATTTTGAGGAAGAAGAGATTTGGTATGCACCCATAATGTTACTGGTACAGCATCTAGGAAAGGCACAGGTTTGTTCACTCCAATCGCTCGAACACCGTAGAAGTCGCCCCAAACAGGGTCTAACCTCACACACCTGAAACAAATATTTTGCATTCGTTCAGGAATCTGTTTAGTGGACTCAAAATTTATGAAATAAAAAATTTGTACTTTATTCAATTCATTCAAGTATCAACATATCATCACCCTTCGGCCTAAGTATCACAAGCGCTATACGATGTTTCAAAATTTCCACCACCGTTTTTTTTTACAGAGAAATTGTTCAACAAGGACGTCTGAAAATTTTACTGAGTTTTTTTGTGCTGCCAGTAAAATTCAGTGAAATTTTCAAACAGATTCAACTGACAATTTCTTGGTAAAAAAATAAAATAGCAGCAGAGATGCTGAAACGTTGCATGGCGCTTGTAGTACTTTGGCTGGAAGGTGACGATATCAGGATATAAAAATGTCAGCTTCTTTAATCTGAATTCCGCAACAGAAAAAATATTTGATAATTTTGATATTTGATTAATATTTTGATTTGGTTGCCCTTATCATTACTACTTTTTAACGGAAATGTCTTGACAACGTATCGAAATTGCAAGGCTACCAAACTGAAGTTTGAGAGCCTTTGTATCGAATAAAATTCAATTGACCTCACAAATAATTAAGGTAATTACCACACATCTTTCGCTTCAGTCCACAACAAATCTTGCTTTAAAACTTGGAGGATATCCTCAATTGAATCACTTTTGGTAGCTAATTGGGGTGGCTCTCTAACATTGTCTTTACCTGAAAAAAAATAAACAATACAATTGAAGAAAATCCTGATGTGTTTAACTTAACATACAAATAAATCGCGGGACGTAATTCTTGTTCTCATTCATCTTTGCTGAGAATAAATTTCCAATGATTTTTGAACCTTCTGTACAAAAAAACAAAGAGGTCAAGAATATGTAAGGACTATTTATTTTATTCCCAATGCTTTCTGGCTTACTGAAGTTACTGATGTCACGATTTAAGTTCTATATTTCCATTCATTTGTACCAAATTTCCCTCTTTTCACTTCATATTTTTTTCATTCGTCACAATTTGATGATGATGATTTCATTGGATGGCCTTGAAGTTTTTCTTTGAATATTCTTTACTTATTTAAAAATATTCACAACAATTTCGAGGAAATGTATTGGTTAGTGTGCTTAATAAAATAGAAACATACCTAATTAAAGGTTTTGAAGTCATAATGGAGTTAAACATTTATATATTTTAACCATCAATTCGCCTAAAAGTAAAATTACTCGTGTTTCTAGCAAAAAGCAAGGTTGCTCAACCCTAACTGCGCACAAGCTTGTGCAAACTATTTTATTTTCAGGACATTAAGAGGTTGCACTGCTTTTCAAAAGACTGATTAAAGAAATATTAAGTGTAAAGAAATAATAATTAACTCACATTCTACATGGTCCAAGAACTTTTCAGTTATTATGTGAAAGTCTGTGGCCGAGGACGGAAAATCTACACCATAGAACAAAGAGCCTAACTGGTACGTGTGAATACACTTGGCAAGATCAGCTCGAGCGCTGCCGTAGTCTGGCGAGCGGTTGTTAGTCAGCGAAAGCCGACTAACATGGAAATGCAGTGATTTGGGTCGATCTCGTTGGCCGGACGTTTCTTGCGAACTTTCGAACACCATCTGAAAGCAAAAAAGATTGATAAAAGATTGACTAAAGATATGCAAATTTTTGAAAAGTATGATGAGGCTTATCAAGTTCTTTTCTTCCTACTTAAAAGAACAAAAAAAAAAAAACATTTGATGACATCATCAAACGGTCAAAAATTGCGAAAACTTTCTACATCCAGATATACCTGAATATCATCATAAATAGAACCTTGAAATGACGTCATTAAGAGCTGTTATTGATGGCTGTATTCTGTTGATTCAAAAATTTAAAGAGCCCCTCTCCCACAAATAGAGAAAGGCAGTCCTCTATCATAAAGGCCTGTTTTGCTGAAATTTTTGTAACATGACTCCACTAGCATCTGAAATCAACTCAAATACTTGCTAAAATCTTCAACGGTTTTAAAAATTTGTTAACAAAGAGATAGAAAGTATAATAGATCACTTCGTTAAATTTACGCTTACACTATACCAAGAAAAGATCCAACTTACCCTTGCCATGATGGCTTCAACGATGACATCAAAATATATTAAGGCAGCTGCGCTTTCTTGATTTGCGGTTTCAGTCGTCAGTAAGGACTGATGCAGATTCAAGAAAAATGTGTTGAGCCAAATGACTGTAAGTACATCGAAATATACGCAGATCGGGTTGGCGTGGACATAAAACTTCGGAGATGGTACTGTAAATTGTTAAGATAATGATGTATTACTGTACTGAGTTTTGATGACAGTTTATTAGGTGGTGTAAAAAATAAAAATTAAAGAATTTAAATTAATTGATCATGATTCTGATTAATATTTTTTGGCCTCTTCAATTTAGTTTCTCCTGATTTTGAAGAAATGCTGTTTAAAATGCATTTCTGATAGATTATGAACACAAAATTCTAGGAGAAAATAAATAGGTACAGCTGTTGAAAGATTTTTTCTGTGATTAAGAGCCAAAGAAATACAACTGACAATGGATCGGTGGCAACCATTTTTTTTTATTCACTTATAAAAGTGCAAAGTGGTATAAGCGTCTGGGAATTTTCCCCGATTTTTTTTTTACACAATGTGGCAAAGAAACTCTGTTTTGTAATACGCTAAAAGTTGAACCCTTTTGTAATGATATTTTTGGCTGGCTCTGATGACATAGCCAGGTGGGGAGAGACGGCGTTTGTTGATTGGCTGAAATGAGCATCAACTCATCAAGTATAGCCTTGCTACATCAACTTCGCTGACTTTCGATTGGTCGGATTTTGATTAGCTTAGTCTCCCTTTAGAATTGATTTTTTGGACTTAAAAATAAACCATTTAGTTTTTTGACAAAATTTTACAAGAGGAAAACGATACCACAACCCTACTAAAATTGCTTGTCACGACTCCGTTAAAAAAATATAAGGAGATACTTCACACCCCCTCTACACCAATAAAAGAGGGAAGTAAAATAAAACTTACAAGGAAATGCAATATCACCAGGATAGTAGAAGTACGTGAATTCTACATGTACAGTTGCCATCTCAGCAGGGAACTTGTGAAACTCTTTGTCACCTAAAAAGAAATGAAATAATGTGTCAATAATTGTAATCATGAGAGCAGAAATGAAAAAACTCAAAACTCAAACACACAGAAGAAAATAAATGCTACAAACCTGAGGGAATTAAGGCATCTAACACACATTCTGTGCGGGAAGATAGCAAACATTTCAATCGGAGGGACAAATTAATTTAAACAGATATTCATGCACAATTTTAGCAGAGATACCTGCCATTCTATTTGCACTTTTTTCTAACAAATTTCCTTCAATATTCTACTATGCCACTTTTGGATGATTGTGCAACGCTTCTTGTAAACTCGAAAGGGAACAAATATTTTAAACTATTTCCGGGATAACTGAAGCAAATAAAATTGTTCATCACCTCCAAAACAGTCTCTTTTGGTGAAATAATTTTCAACATGGGAAATTATCCGGACGCGTAAAAAAGTGAAAATGCACTACTCAGGAATAAATTTAGGGATTAAAGTGAAACAAATTCGAAACTCGAGAGTGTATTCAAATTTTCTTCATGGTTAAAGGCACTTATTAAAAAAACTGAGCTTGGTTCAACAGAATGTTGCTATGCATAAAATTCATAACAATTACAAAAATAAGAAGAACGGTCCTGCAGCTGCTGGTAATAGCTCGTTCAAAGAACGCTCAAATTTGTAAGAAAAAAAAGAAAAAAAAAAGAAAAAAAAGAAAAAAAAAGAAAAAAAAGAAAAAAAAAGAAAAAAAAGAAAAAAAAGAAAAAAAAAGAAAAAAAAGAAAAGAAGAAAAAAAAAGGAAAAAAAGAAAAAAAAAGAAAAAAAAAGAAAAAAAAGAAAAAAAAGAAAAAAAAGAAAAAAAAGAAAAAAAAGAAAAAAAAGAAAAAAAAAGAAAAAAAAGAAAAAAAAAGGAAAAAAAAGAAAAAAAAGGAAAAAAAAGAAAAAAAAGGGGAAAAAAGGAAAAAAAAGAAGAAAAAAGAAAAAAAAGGGAAAAAAAGAAAAAAAAGGAAAAAAAGGAAAAAAAAGAAAAAAAGAGAAAAAAAGAAGAAAAAAGAAAAAAAAGAAAAAAAGAAAAAAAAGAAAAAAAGAAAAAAAGAAAAAAAAGAAAAACAAGTAGCTAAAGCTACCTGCTGAGGGGGCGCCGCCCCCCCAGACCCCCCCTTTCAAATTATATATGTGAGACTTTGAGTATCATAGAAGTCGTGCGGCGACATGCCGAATGAAATGCCACAATTAAAATTATTGGATCAGATGATGAGCTGATAAAAGCCTTACCTAGTAATTTGGGAACATTTCTGACACAGTTTGGTTGCTTTAACTATCACTTTGATTTGCGAAATACAAATCGTTTTCACTTCGTATGTAGTTAAATTTGATTTTGACTGACTTAGTTTCTGATGGATTCAAACTCATAATATACATTTAGGTTCCAGGGAAAGAAAAATGCAGATGAGCTACACTTCACATGAATATAGATTGATTAAAAATAAATAATCCGAAGAAGTGATGGAATAAATGATAATTGTTTACTAAAGTAAATACTATACCTAGGATTCATAGGAATTTTAA